CCAAATTTTCTGCAGTCACAATATTTTGGAGGCTGCATCTCTTTCACCTGTCTTGTCTCCCATGTTGAGTGTTCATTGCTGATCTAAACACCTTAATAGACTCACCTCAGGTTAGTGCTGCCAATCTGTGAGGGTTATATCATGACCTGTTCTTTTATATTTCTCGTGACAGTGTTAAGATCACACAGCAAAGGAAAGCTCAGTAGAATTTGTGAGAAGCACTTAACACCAACTAGGTGTAATGTGTAACAAATTATCCAATATCAAAATCAATTTCAAAGGAAAAGGTATACAACAATAAACGCTACATCAAGTATATACACCAATATTCATTATAAGCAGTATATATAATACAGAACTATGAACAAAAAACTAATAGCCCATGAGTTACAGGCAAAACACAACATAAATAAAAACACCTTTAATCTGTTTTCATTTTTTTCCTTTTATTATTACACTTCTGATTCTATATATATTACCGTGCTGATTAAAGCATACATATGGCTTTTTATATTCAAAATAATTTTTTAGGTTTTTACTTTGAAAATATTTGTGTCATTCACCTTACTGTAAAATTAATTTGTGTAGAGTAACTTTAATGGGGAGATATCTTTGCTGTATGTCTTATACAGTAGATGTTTTTAACACCCTAGGCAAAATGCTGTATGAATTATGTTATAGGTTTTTTCCATGCTGAAAAGAGAAGAAAGAAAACACAATGTTTCGGCCATGGAGCCTTCTTCAGGTGTGAGCACTCAAAAGTTGTGTTTTCTTTCTTCTCTTTTCAACATGGAATAAACCTATTACTTGTTCCTTTGCAGCCAATGCGTGCTGACGCAGCTACCCACCTGAATTACGTTGTGCAGTGTTGAGTATTTTATCATTTTTTATCAAGACATTTTTGATGCATCTTTAGAGAACAATGGTTCATTTGTGAATGTAAGTGTAAAAAAAAGAATTGGCAGGTATTTAAACAGAAGCTAAGAAGAGAAAGATACTGTATTATGAGCTGATCTCTATAAGAATGTCACGGCGAGAGGTCAAAAACGGAATTCACAAAAGATTCATAATATCCTAGTGGATGATCACACATTTTTAAAATCTGTGTTAGCAGCTGTAAGATTTCTTACTAAGGAATACAGGCAACCAACATGAGTAGCTGAACTCTCTATGGGCCTCCAGCTGTAAACTGTCAAAGCTGTAAAAAATGACGTATTTGAAATATGTTACTCGGGCAACATTGTTACAACACAATTGTTGCAGTCAGTTGCTTGCATCTGTCAGGAGTAATTTATTTGTTTATTTATGGTCCACTATGTTTTCTCTGCTCAACAAGATTGCTTAGTATTCTACCACAATGCACAAAACTATAAATTACCATCAAACTGTGCTAATGCAATCTCTAATGAGCAGTTTTCTACTTCACAAAATCAACATGCAATTAATATGGCATTAGCCATTCCTTTAAAAGGTTCATGGCTATATTGAAATTGTCTTTACTCATCACTAATGAATAATGTGGGAAACACAATGATGAAATTATTTTTGTTTGCACTATTAACTGTGCATTTTTCAGATTAGAGAAGCTAATTGTTTTGCATTTTATATTTTTATATTTTTTGTTAGCACATTTTAAATTAATTTTGAAGATCTGCCAGCAAAATCTGCTCCAAAATTGCTAAAACAATACACAATAATGTTGATTTAAATTGTTATACATGTCATGTTTGAAGGAGAGTTTCAAATTAGTATGCCTGAAGTAACTCAAAACGTGGTGCCAGTACTATTCTAACACGTTTAACCACCAAAATTCCACTGGGGGCAAACGTTCATTCACCAGGCAGACCAGACTAGTTTGTGTCATCATGAACAAGGACTGAGAAGACCTTGTCCTTCAGTGCCTTTAGAACATGTTACGCATTTTAATTCTATCAGAACTGGTAGCTCAACTGAGAAATCAAAGTAACTTTATTTCATCTTCTCAGAAAGAGGTCACAAGAACAGCATTTATTTTTACATTTTTATTCACTCTAAAGAGGATGCTGAACATTTGCCTTTTCCTTCATTAAGGCAATGAAGACTGGCCTCAGTGATTAATAACTACAATACAGGTGTACCATAATGCTATTTCCAACCCCTTAAAGAACAGAATACTGGATTTACCTGCCACAGGTGAGCTCGCTCTCCAAGGTGCTTTTCTCCACTGGAACAAAAGAGGCATCTCAGGATGGAAGGATCTACTTCAGCTGCTAATGCAGGCAAAAGGAACCCTGTTAAGGTTTAGAGAAAATTGGAAATCAGATTGGTCAGTAGGTTGTGGACCACATTAGCGAGGGACAGTGATTTTATTACAGCAGGGTTGGTCTAGTCTCAGCCACAGCTCAAAGATTTCCCATAATTCCAGCAGTTAATATGAGTAGGTTCCTCTATGGCACACTACCAGTTGAGGGGAACCTACCACAAAGCAACACTAATAAATGATACTTTGGAAGAGATTTACTTACTTCACCACATCATAAGAGAAATTCTCATCATTTAAGGACTATCTATTCCTCAGCATCTATACCCCTAGCATTGCCACTACCATAGCCTGATGGACAGCTTGAGTAACCAGAAAGGCATCATTGTCATATAACCTCTATACAGCACTATTTAAGGTGACATGACATTTCCATAAAATAAAAAATAACAGACAGGTGGATTCACACAATGTGCCATTATGCCGCACTAATTCAAAACAGATGCACATCTGGTCTTCAGATTTAAAACTTCAGGTTTCAATGAGTGACAGTGACAGTGAGCGCATATACATATTTCTTTAATTAAGCATTCGATGCATCTTAAAAGGTGGCATTTACAGTACGTTATGAAGATACAGCCGGGATAACCTTTTGTACCCTTATGTTATCAGACTTCAGAAACGAAATGAGGGAGGAACTAGTCAGTATTGGGATGGGAGACCTTATGGAAACAGTGCTGTTGGTGGAGCAGTTGGTGGCACTCTTCACTCCAGACCAGAATATCCTAACCAATGGACCAGTATGGTGACAAGTGTCAATATATGGTAAGAGGTGCTGTTTTTCAGAAGAGACATGAAACTAAGGTCCTCACTTTGAGATCTTTTTGGTATGCAAAGTGCTACATAAATACAAGAAATACATTATTAACTGTAGTAGTTCAGGTGGGGAGCTGCGTCAGCATGCATAGGCTGCAAAGGAACAAGTAAGAGGTTTATTCCATGCTGACAAAAGAAAGAAAACACAACGTTTTGGCCGTGGAGCCTTTTTCAGGTGTCACCTAAAGAAGGCTCCACGGCCTAAACGTTGTGTTTTCTTTCTTCTTTTTTCAGCATGGAATAAACCTATTACTTATCCGTTATAAACTGTTTATTTAAAAATACAGATGTACTAAACATTTTTTTTTTATTTCATGTATTTTTTATCTGTTTTGACCAGCTTGTGTCACAAAGCCACTCAAAGTTTCACTGGATGAATCTACAATACAAAGAGGTAGTGAATTTCATCAAGAAAAATAAAGATATTCTGAATCACCACTCATTTGAAAACTGTAATGTTAAGTTACCTTTAAACTGACCCGGGCCTGGGTGTTTCATATTAAATGTATTCCAGCACAAATTAAAAAAAGTATTGTACTGTACTGTAAATATTTGCAACAGATTTCATTTTCCCTCTTATGAAATGTATTGTCTTTAAATCTACTCCATCATTATAATATGTTTCAATGCAGTAAGTAAAATTTGAATATTTGTCACATAATAACCTAAACATTTCTGCTATGTGCAGAATGCTTGGCCCTGTAGATTCTTCAGAATACGGATACTCAGTGCATCGTGACTCACTATGTTTTGCGTATTTAGGTGAGTGGACCACAGGACACGGCGAACTTTGCTCTGGCACCCGTAACTTCCCGGTTTCAACTTCTTGGTAATCCAATTTGATTTCACTCGACTCAGATTTGATGTGCGCATAATGTTTTCTCAACACTATCTTAAGTTAATTAAAAGAATCACCTACATAGAAGAGAGATAATAAGTGCTTGTAAAATAAACTTGTTTTTTAAGCATGCTATCTTTGTCATTGTTTTCTCCAAATCAGAATTGCCAACCGTTTGAAACGTCCTTCTTTTAAATATCTGATATTATCAATTCAGTTGTTACTAATAACTAAAATGATACTATTGTTATAATTATTATAAAGGTGCGGGAAGGCTGAACAAGCAACGTTTTCGGGCCGTGCTTGAACTGCGTTGTTCATCAGGATACCAGTTGCAGGCGCTATTTTCGCCTACGCTTTATCAGCTTTATAATGAAGCAAGCCTTTCCAGCCCAAAGCAAATCTTTCTGCGGACTGCAGTCCCCGTAGTTCTACATACCTATGCGCACGGTGTAAACATAATCATTTTACTTGTACTGTATCTAACAACTATGATTTCTCCTGTTATAAAACTGCATAATTTGTACTGAAAACTGGAAGGCGGCTCCGTTGCTGAGATGTAGCAGAAGAGAATGACTTGTTTTATCAATATGTGCTTGTGTTTCCTCACAATTATAGGGAGGAGTTAAAAACCGCAGAGTCCGATTCAACTATGTCGCTTGTTTCTAAAGAGGTGCGGCGGTCGTTGTCATGGCAGCATATGCACTTAGAAAACTCTGGTAGCCTTTGGTAATGTAAAAATAAATTATTATCGTCATTACTGTTACCATTAGCTAAATCGAAAAATGGGGAAGAATGCAAATTAAAACCACTGCGTTTTTTTAATGTTCAGTTTCACCTTGTGGAAGTCCGGCACGAATGCTGTAAGAAGTATTCTCTGTCGGTATCTTTTCTTCCACTAAGGCATATGATCGCTCCCCACCTGGTAGTGTTGCTAGGAAAAAGGAAAGAACAAAGTAGCTATTCTGGATTAGGATACTGTGGCATTGCAGCATGGCTGCAAGTGAATGTGCTCGCATATAGTTCACGTTGTAGACTTTAAAAGAAATGGGGACGTTTGAAACTGCAGTAGCCGTATATTATGAAGAAGAGGACGAAGAGGAGGAATATTATGAATTTGAACCCCTACCTACAGTATTAGAAGATGAGGTGAGACCAAAAATAATTTATAAACTGTTGCCTAGTAACTATAACATTGCCCGTAAATGGACAGTATTTTTTTATCAGTGGCTTTCGCATTCAACGTCCCTGCAACAATAAAGAATGTAAGACACATTTTAGTGTTGCATAGTCTTCAAAGCCGCTTTTACTATGTCGTATTTTATTTTGCCACGTCAGTTTTTGTTTACCAGATCACCTAATGCGAACATGTTTGCAAAGCCGCTATGAACATGTACAGCATGTCTCCTGATTTTAATAGAAAATACATCGATAAATATTAACAACTTGTTACGCATTTTAAACAGCTGTTGTCTTTGAGTGACATTTGATAAATGGCAAATGACAGTTGAACTAAGGGCCTGAAAATATCACTGACCACTGAATGGACCAGATATTTTTGTCGACCCCGCTATTGGTTTTGGCTTTGCAGATTGTGATGGAGGAAGACATTTTCCTTTGCGACTTCTCCTGTAACATCGAAAATTAATTACTTATGATAGCTCAGTACAGCAGAGTATCTGCTGTATATATGTTTGTATACTGATCAAATTAGAATGTGCTTACTAGTGAGTTCGTTTATCCCTTTCCCTGGTCACTTTCTAGAAGTTGAATTACTTTACCTCTAGGGAGATAAAGCCAGTAAGAGTTTGACAACCTATTAAAGGCTGAAATATCAACACGTCACTCTTAAAGGTCACTGAAGCGCATAGCTTGAATGTTGGTAGTTTCCTACGTTCGTTATATCAGTTATAATATAGTACAAATAAGTGCTGTTCTAATAAGGCAGGGTTGTGACGGAATTCGCGTGTGTAGTTTAACCTTATGTGATGTAGATGTAAACTCATAGAAAATGTTATTTTAATGTAAGAAGCCAAATGGACTACATCACCTGTATCTTGACAGTTATATAAAACTTTGATTAGGCTCTTGGAAGACTTTGGATGAATATTGCAAAATCATGCGCTTACTGGGGCAGCTGAGCCTTTGTACATGTGATAGCTAGAATTCCATCATTTATTTACAAAAACTATATATGAAATATTCTGAAAGAAACAGGTTAAATGCCAAACTGACCTGTCAGTAACTGATGTGTATTCGAACCCATGGCCTTCCTAAATAGTCTTCTATCTGCAATTTAGTATTTATTTAAAAAGCACAGAACTTCCAATATCAATTTTTATTGGAAAAAGACATTAGGCTCTACCTTCCAGAAACAAACTACAATAGGAGCAATAGATCAGTCTTGATTTAGTGACAGATTGCTTTGGGACGATGTGCCAAAGGGCTCATTGCCGCTACTGTCTGGTTTTCGGGGGCAAATAGGTTCATTAAAAAATTACAGAATGAGTAGATAATTCATGTAGGCTGGCAAATTCACTTGCTTAGGCAAACTTTTTCTTTTTTCTTCTGCATTCTCAAGAGAATATGTCATTCTATTTATGGGTGGTTGCAGCTGCAGTAAACCTTAGTCTTAAGTTTCAAAGTTGTACTTTATCTAAAAGACAGAACAGACCAGACTTGAGTTCTTCTATTCGTTGTCGGATTATTTTAATGAACATTCATACACAGTGATCGCTTCATAAATCAGAAGGAGAATATAACAGGAAAATTAGTAGCAATACTGACTAGCATATTTGTTCTTTCTTGGACAACCAACAGTGGATGTCTGTTTTATAGTAGTTCTTTTTTAATAGTATTCTGACAAAGATGTTGCTTGTGGGAAATAATGAACTTTTGTTAGTTGTGGTGAATAATGATTTTAAAGATTTTCATATGGCATAACTCAAACTTTCAGGAAGTTAAGGATATTTTATAGATGTTCTATTGTACAGGATATTAATCAGGTAAGTTTAGTATTCTAAAAATCCTAATTAATTTGCTATATAAAATGTAAAAGTTAGTATGTTATACTGTATATCAGACTAATGTTAGTGATCAGTCTCCAATGAATGAGAGAGGTTGGGAGAATATAAAAAGGTCATACTTTCTGTGAAACTACCCTCACTATTTTGAACTTTGAACAGGAAGAGCAAATATGTTAATGCAAAAACTTTTGTAAACTTTTTTTTTCATCTGCTTGCTAGTGAAAATCCATGAGATTAATTGTTGGCAGAGATATAGAATTAATGTCCACCTCCGCAGACTGTGCACTGCACAAAGGGATAACTGTTGTCTTCAAAAGCATTCATTGTTTCTGGAATCAAAAGGCATAGTAATAAAGTACTTGAAAAAAAACTGTGTGGAAAGGATTACGTAGGATAAATATCTATTTTCCATTAATGTGGCTGGTTATTTACAAGCAAATACATATCATGGGTGGCTATCATTTCAAGACAATTTCTCCAAGGTACACAAAAAGAATCATAAATCTAATATTGTAATGACTTAATTTAACCTTTTTTACTTATGCAAGAAAAAAATAGCAATAAATACATTTTATTAACAGATCTGCTTTTCCATTCTTAAAATGGATTTCCAAATTGTGTGGAATGGTTGAGTACTGTTCTATGTTCGATTTGTTAAATGTTGAAGTTGCAGCTGAGAGACCACACTCTTTGCTTTTATGACTCTCAAAATAACATATATGATTAATCTTAATTCTTCACTTTGGGCATTCAAAATCTACACTTATGAGACAACTTTTTTGGGTGAATTAGCAAATACCAATTGAGCTGACAGCTAGTGGAATCTTGCCCAGGCCTAAACAGCTATAGATTATGGCAAAAAATGCAGTATAATGAATTAATGCTTCTTTTGGCAGGAAAATGTGTCCCTAGCAGATATCCTGTCACTGCGGGATAACTGTCTCACTGAGCAGGAGATCTGGGCAGTATGCCTGGAGTGCGCCCTCTCTTTGAGATGCATTGCCCACTCTGCTCTCTTCCATACACTGTGCATCACCCCTGACACTCTGGCCTTCAATGCACATGGAAATGTGTGCTTCATGGAACAGCTCAGTGGTGAGTGAATATTCTTTATTATTTACATTGTTACATGATCATGTGATTATGTTTGATTGATGGATTTGATTTAATCTAGTTCGTGAAACCCAGTATCAGATTTCAATGTAATTTTAGGATACACATTTTATGAAAAGAAATACTGTTGTAGTTAAACTTTTTGTTTGATTACAGAGCCAAAGGTTACACAAAAAGCTATGACTGGAAAGCCTACTTTCAGTCATTTACAGTTCTATGAGTAAAAGCCTTACACTTTGTGGTTTTTTTTATTAATGCTTTTACCTTAGTGATTTTCTTGATCATTCATTCATATCTGACAAAGCATCTATATTTTTGTTGCATAACAAAACAGTGGTTACTACCAGATCACTTAGAGATCTTTTTAATGTAGTGCAGCATTTGCTAAGTAGAAAAATACAAGATATTAATTTTCTTAAACTTTTTTGCTTTTTTCCACTTGTTACATTTGCTCATACTTTAGCTAAAAGTTACTTTAATAAAATTGGGAGGTAATCTTAGGAAGCAAAAAGCTTTAAAAAAGAATCGTTAAAGTCTTTAACATGGCTAAAAAGAATGGCTTCATCTTCTGTGAATGGATTGATTTATGGTCATTTTTTTCATGTGGGATTATATAAATAGCAACAAAAACACAAGTGTGAACCTAAGACTAAACCAGTTTAGTCTATCTTCCTCATATGGCTGAAAGTATCTCTTCAATCTCTTCAAGTCATTTTCTTAAAAAATCAAAGTTTAAATAGTGTGTACGTTTTATATTAATCAGAGATCAAAGTCTACACTGTATCTGTAATCTGGTATAAGGACAGCTGTGAGCTGTTTTTGAAATCATTCTGACTTTATAAGGAAATATGAAATTATTTTTGACAAAAAAAGTAAAAGCAACCACACAGAAGTCCTTCTCATAATATATATTAATATTTGAAATTTCTTTCTTAATATCTGTGTTTTAGTACCTCTACATTACATGGTGTAAGTCTTAAAAAGGGGTACATACTGTACTATTGTAAACAATCTTCACCCATACTTTTCATTTTACTCTGCATTGGCAAAGACGTGCTGCAAGTAAGATAACTCTAATCCTTATTTTGTAAGGTTTCCAACTTAGCCCTGAATTCAGTGAATTCATACCACCATGAGAAACATTTTTAAGATCAGGAACTAATATGCTTGGAGATAACATTAAGATTAGTGTGGAACGTACAACCCCATACCTTTTGGAGAGATGAGATGTATTTAATTTATGAGAAGTGGGTCATGCGAAATACAAAATATATTTTATCTCACCATTATGCTGGGAGATAATCACTCATCCTAAATTGAGAACTTTTTGCTTTTTTAAAGCACCTAATTAGTTATTACACTTTGTGAATTTTTGTATGGTTTAAATAAATTAGATTGATTAAGACAGTTTACAGGCATTGTAATTTAATCATCAAATGATAATAGATGTAGTTTGACCTTAAGCTTTTTTAAATTTAATAAGAGACTAGTTTCTGAGCTCCAGAGTCCAAGCTAAGATATAACACATAAAATCATTTTTCACTCACATCATTATTACAATATTAACATACCAGAATTGATGGGTTTCGGGGTATCAGTTTAACTGTTTGATATTTTTCTTCAAGATTCTTTTAGGTTTAGAGTATTTGTGTTTGACCTTCAGAATGATGTCTTTAAACCCAGTTTATAAATAATGATACAACATTATGGATTTTGTCATGTGGATTAAGAATGAGTATGAAACTCTAAAAGTACATTGACAGACTGATATTATGTCAGATGTTTTCTGGGCCCTTAATTTATTCCTGAATCATATAGAATTCTCTTTGTAAGTTAGTGGTTAAAGTACAATCACTACAGCATAACCCTTTTGACAATATTTAGGATACTGCTCTTACTGTGCATTTAATTTTAAAAATGTACACTTAAAATAATACACAATTTTATAATACTTTGTTTTAATTGATATTATGCATGTTAAGGACATTATTTTACTTGATCATTTAGGAATAACTCAAATTTTAGACTTAACTCTTTAATTTGACATTGCTACAGTACTGATTGTGTCAGATAGTCTTTATCTTTACTGTCCTATGTTCTTCTTTCTTATCAAAAACAGTTGTGTCGTAGACTATTAATTCTTCATTTCTTCTTAGCGGTAATAACCTTGAGGAGTTTTTCAGGCCTGTACCATTTTTAATACAAGACATAATAAATCCTGCAGAGACAGGGCTCACACAAGCTTGACCTATTTTCTAAATTTCCTTTGCTGTTATGGCTATAAAATTGTATTTCCTATGTTTTACCCTGTGGATGTGTTGTCCTAGTTTATATCAGCAGTGTAACATTAAGTTATGCAGTAAAATGTCATCTTAGCTTTCCAGAAGCTTTTACAGTCATTTTTATTTACTGTATGCAGGGTATTCCAAAAGGAATGCAAATATTAATCTATTAAAATGTTTTTGAATGATCTAGAAACTAGACCTTATCCCATATTTATATAATAATTCCTGTAATTCCACTGACATAAGATATAAACAGTGAACTTTGAAGGACCAAACACAAGGAGGAGAATGAGGCAGATTTTAAGTGTTGCACTATGTTTTACGTGTCAGGTCCTAATTGATCATAATATGATCCTAATAATAAAATCATGTTAAAGCTTCTGTCAAACTCTTAGAATAATCAAATCTCAATCATATAGACATACACTGTTGATGTATTTTTATAAACAATGGAGTTTATATTAACTTATATCTGTGGCTGTTTTCCAATTTTAAAACTAACACTGGTATTAAAAACAGTTTTTGGTTATCTGCAAGTTATGTTACTTGTATTCCAAATAATGTTGTGTACCTGGCCTTAATATTATATTGAGGACTGTAGTTCAGTAATTTAAATATATTTTCTTAAATTTGTGTTTATTTTGCCTAATGAATATAGATTATATATATAGAATATAGAAGAGCAGCTGCTTTCAGATTACTTCTTATTATGTATATTATAGAGACATAAAATATCACATTTGTCTTTTTCCATTTGAATTTTATAGAATACTGTTTTGTGGAAATGCATTTTAATGAAAGTTGACCACATGTGTGATGGGATGAAGTCTCCCCCTTCTCCAATTTTTTTTCATCAGTTTTGAAGAGGACGTTTAGACCTTTCAGGTTGTCACACCTTCTCCTGTTAGATTGCCATTGGACTTTACATACATCTTCCTGAAGAACCTGACATAGTGTCTGAGGGGATTAGGAGCAGACTCCTGGACTAATGTGTACTGGGGTTTATTCTTAGGACTTGTGTAGATAAGTGTTCAGTAAGCTTTTTGAACTACATGCTCAATTTCTTTTTTTTCCTTGATTCCAAGTAATTTTAAAGTTCACTCGTCTTAATAATTTTACAAAGAATTCAATCCAGTGCTTTTAATATTGTGATTCAGTGCAGGCATGGTCTTACTGTGATGTTGCTGCTGTGTTTATGCTTCAGTAAAACTGGCTGAGGACAAAGACATTGATAACTAGGCATCATCACATTTTCTCCATTGCACAACTTTAAATACTCCCACGTATTCATATAAATCATTATGAGCTACAACAATCAAGAATGGCATGACTGTTAAGGTAAATTGATGAATATGAGGAAATTAAAATCACAAAAGGAAGTCTCCATGATTTCTCCGTGATCAATTTCTGTCGTATCATAAATAAACAAGCGGTCACAGTGTTTAGTAAATACAAACCACTTTTACCCTGACGAGCTCATCACTGCGGTGTAATTATGTCACTGTGCTGTTGTTGCTGTTTTGGCATGCCCTATGTGTTAGGGCACATGCATGCAAGGATATCGTCAGTTGTCATTATTTTGTTTTTTCAGATGATCCAGAAGGTGCATTTGTACCTCCTGAGTTTGACAGAACAGGTAACACTTTTGAAGTAAGTATTCACATTTCAGTTGTTCAGTGGCATTTTAAGTGTTATTGCTTTGAAAAAAATGTCTTTAAATAATTTCTTTAAAAATGCAGAATAATATTTGAAATGACAATTGAAGTCTTAATATGTAGAACTGCAACCCACAGATATTGCTGTGTTATGTAATGTGTTTCTTTTTAAAAAAATCCTGTTTCTTCTATTATTCTCATTATTGATATGTTTTCACTATTATTGTTCTTTTGAAAATTTACTTGCTGTCTTTTTTTCTAAAAAAATCATACAGTGATCCACTTTTTGTTAGTCTTAGCAGATGTTTAAAGAATTAAGACCAATTTAGGTAAAAAAATTGATCATTACAGTGTATACAGTGCATATCCAGAATGTTTTAGAACAAAAGTACTTTAAAAAAAAGTTTTTTACTATATCACTAAATTATAAATAAATATACTATATATTTACAAAATATATATATATACTTACTATATACTTTTTGAACATCAAAATAACATAGGTACAGTGGTAGTACATAGTGTATATATTCACCTTTTAGAACAACTTTAGGCTTGTAATTTGAAATTATACCCATGGAAATGAGACTAGCCGTTTGAGTTCTTTAAATGCAGGTGCTATCAACCAGAAAAAAGTGATACTACTACTTTATATTGTGCCTCTATGTATGACATTTGTTTCATGAAATTTAGTGTAGGAAGGAAGATAGCATAATGGAATTATTGACTTTTTGATTAAAATTCTGGCAACCAGCACCATATTAGTGTACGTTTAATTTAAGGTAAATCAATATCACACAATCTCCATTTCAAAGCAAATATTCTGAACATCAATGCAGACTAAAGTCTCCAATTTGGGATAGAAAGAACATTAAGAGTTCTATTGTTTTCTAAATCACAGGATAGGGATTTCTCTGGATACTGAATTTGATGAATGATTGTATAGCTTACCTACTTTTATTGTATATAGCAAGCTGTTGAATACATTTTCAGAACTTGTTAACCCCATTAAGTGAATGTAAAGATTCCAGGTGAGTAAACATAGTTCAGAAATGGTGTGTTCATACTTACAACTGCAGTTAATGAATAGCAAATAACACTGCTTCAGATAAAGGATACCATTTTTTTTATCTTCAATGGTATGTTCAAATTCCAAGATTACTTTTTCACTCCTGTACAAGTTCCCAGATTTCCTTAGTCTTGCATACACTGTGCATTCCTTTTACTCTTTCTTCTGCCTGCTTATAATAGTAGATCTGTGTTAAAACAATAAATTCAAAACATGTTATTTGATTGTTTATATTGCTGTCTGTATAAGCATGTCTCAGCACATGACTTGGCTGTCCAATTGTTCTCATTTTTTTGAGTGTGTCTGACAAACTGTCTTTTATGATTTGGTTCACTGCTGACCCAGTTCTGCATTTTAAGTGTTGAACAGACTTGAATGGATGATTGAATACTGGACCCATATAGAAATATGAATATTTCTAAATGTATGTGTTTAATTTCTTCGCTATTTCACATGTAGTATATTATACTAAAATGAAAAAAAAATATTTGAATGCAACAAATTCTTTTTAAAAATTCAAGCAGTGTTATGATATTTATGCTCATTATAAATGTTAAGATATGAAAAATAATATACACTTTTTCTTATACTTAACAATCATTTTTAGTCCAGGTTTTGATTTAGATTAGGCTGACATAGGCTTCTTTCCACTTGTATTTGTATCTTCCACCTGAGCAGTCAGTTGAAAAAGAAATCTGCATCTAGTAGAAGAAATGATGTCTTTCACTGTAGCTAAACAGTTGGAAATTTTAAAAGTAATTTATGTTAATATGTTATTAGTTATATATTAACAATGCTTTCAATCAACTTTTTGTTAAAAGTCGTATTATTTCCCTGTTATCATCTCAGTTTCCTTGATTTGTGTAGGTTTAAATTGTATTTATTTAGACTCAAAATTTCTTACAACCTTTCAGGTATGTTAAATGAAAATTAAATTATTTGGGGAAAATTCATGTATCATTAAATTCATTAAATTAATTTCTATGAAGTGATGAAATGCATGGGGTCACATTGTATTTTGTAGAAAGTTACAGGTTACTTTCTTCATGCTTTCATGTACAGTATATCAGTAAGATCCGTAGGGGAAAGTTGGGTATACTGTGTTGTACAGTGCTATAAGAGTATGACAATTAGGATTTATTTCTCACATAATGGAAAAAATATCTATAGTCAGTGAGGCATGTTATTTGCTGCAATTATCATTGTTTACTTATATCAGCCTGCTGCTGGTAACTACCTCATTCTTCCTTAAAGCAGCTGACAAAAAATATTGTAATATAGGCAGTGCTTCAGAAAAAAATAAGGCATCCACAGGCCTGCTAATCATATTGTAGCAAGTCTTGCCAGTAATTTAGTGAGTGGGATTTTTAGTGAACTGTTAGCTTTCATATCACACTTCAGGGTAGAGAGATAAACACCTGAGCTCTCGGAGAGCTTATATTGTTGTTTTATCCTTGACTGCTTATTATGTTCAGTAACCTATTGAAGTCAGACAAAAACAGAAGAGAGCTGGGGAAAAGCTGAATTTCTTATGTGAAGTTACATGGTTTATATGTATGGTTCTATAATGTAAGAGAAATTCACATTTCATCACTTTCACATTAAACTTCAATAATTGGTTTTATTTCTGTTTTTCTGTTTTTAGCTTCTATTTCTTATATTTCATTTTGTGTGCCTGCATTCTATGCCCTTCTGGCTCTGGAAACTTGACATGCATAGACTTAACAGCCCATTTGTACAGAATGTGTAAAGTGTTTCAACTGAAGTTGCGATCTTGTTTTAAGTTTCTTTGATCTCTTTTGGTTCTTTCTATTACTCTGTATATCAAGTAAAATAAATGGCACCCAGGAAAAATAATTACATATTTGTCAGATGTAGCCTGAAATGTGTATCCTGTCATGCAAGATAAATCTGAAGTCCAGTTCTTTCTGGGAATTATTGATAATGGAAAGGCATGACCTGCTAATTCCTTATTGACTGTTTAATGGGTTGATAAATGGGTTTTATAAAAAATAGTGCAACATACCATTTGAACTGTGAGAGTACAGTTAACATAGCACTGATTTTCTGTTATCTAAATGCTACATAAATTCCTTTAAATAATGTTTGTTCTGATTGTGGATCTACATTGATTTTGTCACATTGACTAATTTCAATGTGGTTAAGGTTCTTCCTCACTCAAGATGTTTCACTCTCCTATTCTCCAGGAAAGTTATACTGTTCACATATTTTTTCTTTTATGCATATTTGTGAGTTGTGTAATATACGTGTATAGGCTTATGTTACAGTGGAATGATCAAATAATTTTTTTGAGCAGTTAAATTACGGGACACTTAAATTCCATTCAATAGAATTGTGAAGTTAATTAATGCCTATCACATGAAAATCATGTGGGCTCCTGTAACATTACAGTAAGGTAAGGTAATCTATCCAAGCTCAGGCTGTCACGATTATAGTCCCCCCTCCTTAAGGGTGCTCCAGCCCTTTCACTTGAGACTTTATTCTGTGCACCTGTTTCCAATTCCCAGCCCACCTTAAAAGCCAGGCGCTGACGCTCATCAGGGCTCTGCATCTGATTTCCATATCGTGCGAGTCCAGGACCTGGAAGCGCCTGGTCCCGTTAAGGTTTTAATCTCGGTTCCCGTTCCTGTTCCCTGTCTGCCGGTTCCGACCCGGCCTCTGGTTTTAATTCCGTGTTTTGATGGATCTCCTGGTTTTGGACTTACCCATTTGTTTGGATACTCTCTAAGGATTTCTCTTTTGGATTGTTCGCCTCGGCCACACCTCCCCCGTGCACCAGCGCACCGTGGACACGCCCCCCTGTCTTCAGCCCCGTATTCCTGCATGACGTTTCCCCAGTGTTTCCCCACTTCTTCGAATTGTGTCGTCCGCATAGGGTCCAGAAAGAACTGTTTGTTACACAGGCTGAGTGTGGTTGTGACAGTGACAGTTGTGACAGGAAATTACCAATATATGATGCACATTTTACTGAGCAACATTAAAAGTAGACTTCAGATTTGTTGGCAAAAGCTTTCTAAGCCATTTACGAAACAGTAACTCCTGAGTCTATCAGGGTGCCTAAAGGAATGCATGATGTCAGTGTGTGATGTACTGCTACTCCATTCAGCTCTAACTCTTCTATAAGGTTCTGTCAGGCTTTAAGCATGTCAAGCTATGTCGGAGGGCAGAATGTCTCCCCTTCCACATAAAGAAACAATTGGTGAAGCCTAATTGGAATGCTGGGAATGAAATGCATAAGCAGAAAAATCTGCCTTTTGTTCTTCCATTCTTTATTTATCTGGTAGTTCCCCTCTCTCCATCGCACCTGAATAACTCTCCATAGCCGAAACACTGTGTCTTTCTTTTCAGCACGGAATAAACCTCTCCTTGTTCCCACACAAAAAAAAATGTTCAAATGGAAATGTAGCCATTGTATTTATTTTTCCCTGAACCACTAAACTCCTCCTCTGTATTTTAAAAGTTGTAAGAGAGAAGTCTATGCAATATATGTATTTAACCACTTCTTGAGCTTTTTTATACAGTGTTGTGTGAATGTAAGTACAATGCAATATTGAAGTGTTTTCACCCCTGCTAATCATGCATGAGACTCAATAAAGAGGCAGAACATGAAAGTTAATCTGAACAACAGCCCTTGGCTAGGCTCAGTTCAATTGAATTTACAAGGCTGGGGTGACAGCACAGAAGGATAAAGGCTAGGGATCGAGCTTAACCCTTTTGCAGAAGGTTGTATAAGAATACATACCAGCACCTCTGTCAGACACCACATACTTCCTGCTTGCTGCTTAATCAACACATTTTACGTTATCAATCAGAGTTGACAGCTGCCCTTATTGTGTAGCCACCTTTTCCACTTTCTTCTTTTCTTGCTGGCTGGAAATGACTGATTCATTCAAAGTATGTTGCATTCAGATGTTCACCAAGGAAAGAACTCAACAACATTCCTCAGGCTGAGATAAGACAAATTTCTATATTAAATAATGTTTGCATAGAAAAGCCTGGAATGTTGCAAGTATTGGAGGTACTTTGGATAAACATGTCTCCAGGACATGAAGGTATGATATCTATTGTGCTCAAAGAAACAAGATGTTATTTATAGGACTCTAGCACATGTCTTCCAATATTCTCAAGACAGGGATAATATCCATTGACTGGACAATTTGTAATATAGTGCCTATCCAAGTTATTATTCATCAAAATGTTACACTTCTATTAAATGTAAGGTTATTAGACTTAACTTAGACTCTCAAGTATGTGGCAATAGAATTATATGGAATAGTTATTATGGATTGTCCAATCTGTCTGGTTTAACCAAACTGCTGATTATTTTTAAAAAGTAAGAGCAGTTATAGATTCATAGATATATTTAGATACTCAAGAACCTTTTGATAAATTTTCTCCTAAATAAGTTCTCAATTATAAACAGTTTTCATGTATTTGGAAAATGAATTGGTTAATGAATAGAAAACATTACAAATAAGAGATTAATGCTCAGACTGGGTTGATGTAATTAGTGGTGTACCACAGGGAACTGTTTTAGGACCACTTTTCTTCGTAAGTTGTATCAACTTGATATACTAGTCAAAATCTCAAATGACCTCAAATGCAAAAACATTTATTATAAATATAAGGTTAAAGAAGATGTTTATGAACAACACTAGGGTGTTTATTTTCATACATCATTTTAATTTTTTAGTTGTTGTGGAGAAGCAAAACAAAACTTTAGGTAATATGGTTTAAAGTATAATTTAAATCAAGGGATGTTATAATGAAACTAATCAAAGCACCATATGACCTAATTAAGAATATTGTGTGCAATTGTGATCACCATATCACCATGTTTGGTCATCATTCAGCTATTAAATGTCCTATTCTAACAAACAAAGGTAATAAATCTCATATCTCAAATATGGAATACTACAAGGGACCAGATGCAAGTATACACAATCTTCAAAGATATCTGAGGTGTTATCTAATGCAGCCCTATGGACTTCTGCACTTCTTCACTCAGGTAGTGGGTGTCTACCCAGCCATGTTGTGTCAGACTGTACTGTACTTTGGTAGCTTTTAAAAAACAGCTAGATGATATCCTCAGATCAATAATGTACTAAAACCAAATGAGCTAGATGGGCCCAATGGTTTTACTTGTTGAAAACATCAGCTGTTGTTTGTCCTGACATTCCTCAAAACTGGTTCAGATGTTAAATAATAACCATCAGCTGATTTTCTTTTTCAGCCCTACTCCTTGTTGCTGATTCAAAGCTACCATTAACTTTAGCAACATATTACTGATATATTGATCTATGTGTCATATATTTAAGAAAGGTTACAAACATGAGGAAATATTTTAGTCCATCTAGTCAGAGAACTGCAGCCATCTGCCCGCAGATTGAACCCGGGTCAACATTTTAGTAGTCAGGCAGGTATGCTAACTACTATACCACCCACACAGCAATAATTTTTTTATAAATATAATTTCTCTAAGGTACTTGATGAATTATATTTTTTCATAAAGAAAAAAAAGCATCCTTTAAATTTAACTGGATATTACTGAAGGAGAAATATAGTTGTTCCGTGTGTAATCTAATGCTGTAGCCAGCGGCGATATTAGAGGCTTAACTGAGTATGGATAGGAAAAATAGGCAATCAGATTTGCTTGGCTTGCTGACTGTCCTGGACTGTCTGCTTCTTTTACTGTTATGTTTTATTAGTGCTTTATGTTGTCATTGAAATTTTGCACATGCACTATCCATCATCGTAGAATGGGAATTGAACAGTAAAGGTGTTTCATAGAGAAGTGGTGTATTGGGAAATAATCAATACCTATGCACAAAACAGAGAATGAGACATATACAGTAGTACCATCATTGAAAATTAACAATAACATGCACTGCTTTTCTGCGTGAAGTTATTAAACATTCAAACTGATCGATTCACTTTAGGTAATAGAACAACAAACAAGCTATTTCACAGCTATTTTTATATATTGTTTTCTTTTTATATAATGGTGAACTGTTGTTTCTTTTTTTGTCATTTTTTTTCAAAATGTGCCTTTTAGTTTATATTTAATCTTAAGTATAAACGTGATTTAAAAAAAAATGTTCACATTTTTTTTCCTTGCATTGGTTTATAGACCAGACCTTCATTTATAACCAAATATTTTGTAATTTACTTATATTATTTAAGGATTTGTGTTCTCTTGCTTGTATAAATGCATAGTGTAAAAGATTATAAATACAGGCAAACCACGTGGTCAATATGAATGATTTTTTTGTATGAAAAAATGTAAGATATGAATGTCACATCAGGTGTGTTACATTGTTTTTGAATAAGCGTTTTTGATAAGCTGTTATCCTTCTAGTTGTTTTCAATACAGAATGAGTTTATTAAGAGGAAAAAAGGAAACAGAATAAAATAATAAGTTACCTTTAGCCCTTGATACATCAAAACCTCATCCTAATTTCCACTTTCAGTGATGGCAACCTAAGAAGAGGAGGTAATTTAGCCCATTTCATAGTTAGCAGCTTATTGTTCTAAGGATGTCATCCAGCCAATTCTTGAAAGAGGCTTCAGCCATTATGGCTAGGTAGCTTTTTCCATACCGCCACCTCTCTTTGAGTAATGAAGTTTCTCTCTTGGTACTTCTTACATGTTTATCAGAAGCGTCCACATGTTCTGTTGTATGGGCCTTAATTTTCTGTCAGGGAATAGGCAGGTACAGTAGTTTTCCGAGGATCCTGTGTATAGCTGTGAATTCTGCGGGATGCAGAGGCAAACAATCCAAAATCGTAATCCAGAAGGAAGGTCAATAGGAGAAGCTAGAGATCAGATAACCAGAAAGAGCCGAGACAAACTGAGAAGACAGTCCAAAAGCCGAAATCTAAGAGACGAGATCAAAAAGGGAAAAGTTAAGTCCAAAAACCGGGAAATCCAATGAGACAAAAACGCACACTGGAGAGCTCTAAAGGAGGCTTTTCAATAGTGAGCATGGTTTGGTGTGAATACTGAAAATATAATACTAAAGGGAGAGGAACATGGTTGGATAATTGGTCCAGGAGTGAGAATCTGTGGAATCTGGTGCATGTGAGAATGTGATGGGTTCAGTTAGGACTGAGATCGTCAAACAGTGGGTTTGAGAATGTAATGGCGTTTGCAGGGGAGAGTGTGGGGCGTGATATTTTCAAAGTGTTGCAACTTTAAAATGTATCAAACCAAGAAGAAACTTAAATGTGGAAGAATGATTTGAGTGCTGTTAGTTAGTTCGTGTGCAGGATATTTAACTTATTTGTAATGCAGTTGTTACTGAAAAATAAGTATGCAGACTCTCTAATATCAGTTCTTTTTGAGGTACCATCTTCTGATTCTGATTCTGATTCTGATTCTGTTGAATTCCTGAAAGTCCATAAATGTTGGTATTTACAGGCACACGTGTATTCCCTGGGTTCCACGCTGGCTGCTGCAATCGAGTACGTGATCGAGCCCGAGCTGGAGCCTCAGCTGAGCCACAACCTGAAAACCCTTTTGAATGAGATGCAACAAGAAAGGCCAGAAGACAGACCAAATATTGAGGCAAGGAGTTGGTCAAATATGACAGAAGTGTTTCGAATCAAGACCTGAATTTCTTAAACACCCCTTAAGATCCCAGTTTTTAATTACTGCATATTTAGATGTTTGTTTTAGATACTAAAATACTACAGTATATAGATATATTTTGTGCATATTATTTATTTCACTTAATATTGCAGAAAATAATGCAGGCTTCATAGAAGAATATGTATTATGATTTATTTTTTTAATCAAAGGCAATAATAACCCATGACAACATGAAAAAATAAAGAAGTGTGTATTTGCACTACCATCAATCTTTATTTTTAATCATAGAACATTTACTTAAAAGTGCTTTTTAATCTTTCACAAATATTCCTTAATTTTAACAAAAAATGTAATCGTAAAAGCCTCATTTTCTTACACCAGAAATTTACATTGACACCTTTTTTTAATTTGTTTTCTTAGACCTTATCTGTTGCCTGCTTATTCTGTTTTTTTCTTGTCAGGCTATTATTAGACTTGGGGAACTCCATCTAATGCAAGTGTCCTCTGCAAATATTTGTCGTAAGCTCTCCGCTATAGGAAGAAGAGTGTTATCAATTGAATCAGTCGGAAATTTCCAAGGTAATGAAGTGCATACATGTACAGTACTTGCTTGTTTCACAACTAGCAACCATTTATCTTTGCTGCATTTGTTCGTTCTACTCTCTCTCCCAAGGAAGTATGCCTCAATACAGATACTTTCAGATATTTCTTTGGTCAAGAATTTTTCACTATTACTGTATGTTTTCTAAGACAGCAGCACCAGGTAGGATTTTATAACCATGATGCCAAATGTTTACAAATTAGAGGACAAAGCCAGAGCAACTAAAAATAACAATCATTATATTCATTATAGTTATATCAAGAGTTTGCTATAGTAAGGGTTCCATTATCCTTATACTTTGTTTAATATATAAGATAATTAGGGTGAAGAGAAAAATAAAGAAGGTGTAAAAATTCAAATATGCACTTCAAAAACCATTTTTGAAAATTTGCATTATCTTTATTATCCAGTGGAGTTGTATATAAGTATTTAATATAAAACATTAAAATTCTATCATTTTAAGTTTCCAAAAATATAATGGAATAATAGATGAAGGCAAAGGAAGTATCCACTAGTTCAGAAAACAAATGTCAGTAGCACATGTTTACAGGGTGTTCTTAATTGTTCTCGTCGACAGCTTGCATTATATTGCCTCAATAGCTTGTTAAAGAATCAAAACTTCAGAAAAATATTAGATGCATAATTACCTCTGTTTTTACCTCTTGTTGTTTGTGAGTGTGCATTGATATTGCTTTAAAAAACTTAAACAATTTTATGTCATAGCTGTGTCTAAAAACCATGGAGATTAAATTTTTAAAAAATCTTAAGACAAACTAAATGCTCAGAAATAACACTTTGATTCACTGAGTCCTTCAGGGAATACCAACTTGCTTAAATTTTTTAAAATATTTTTTAAATAAATTCTACCTTGTTTGTTGTTCACATTGAGTCATCTTTAGCAGATTCCCTGTCCTGTGAGTGCTGCTGCACTAGCCCAGTGTGTATATGTCAGAAAGCGTGGGTAAGCCAGTTTTAGAAAACAAAGCTTTTTTTAAAATAACTGCAGAAAAATTCGAAGTAACCAAGATATTGTGCTTGCTCAATATAAAGAGAAAGACCTTGCTCTCTGGTCTTTATCTCTCCTTTTTTGTGAAAATTATACGACAGAAGTCATGGAGAAAATTAAAATGATGGATTATGTTCCACATATACATATCTAAAATATGCCTTTTACATATTGTTCGCAGATGGGAGTGAAAACTCATGGAACATTATAGAGCGGAAGACAATAGTTGAACACAAGCAGCAAGTTTTTGAACGCAATCCAGCAGACGGATCTTCCAGTACTGAAGATCTGACCTCTGATATGAATGTGTTAAGCATCAGAATTGCAGACATGACTGAGGGAAATAAATGTGCACAAGATATAAAAGAAGTCCATGAAGCTCTACTCAAAGGAGAGGCTATAGCAAAAGATCTGGCCCAGGACAGAGCTGAAAAGGAGGGTTATACTCTTTTAAACCGAGATGAATGTACTTTTGAGCTGCAGTTGGAGTCAACAGCAACTGCACCAAGTTCAAGGAATAATTCTACAGTAAGGAAACAAACACTAGAAAAGCCTGGAAGGACAATGGTTGTCCTGAACCATTCACACTCAAATCACATTTCAAATCCCACCAGCCATCCTATTCTGCCTTTTCATGTTGACAGAACTGTATCTGTGACAGACCTTTCTGAAGTATTGCCACAAGATCAAACATTTAAAATATCTAAAGTCAAAAGTAACAATTATAAGTCAGTATCTCAGTATTCTGATATTCCAAAGATTGTCAACGCTATTGATGCCATGCACATTAAAACTGTTCAATCCTTTGAGCATTTGCCACCGAGGAACAAAAATGTATGTTCTTCACCAAGTCATCATTTCCAGGCCCCTATAGAATCCAATGAAAATATTTCTTCTCTCCAAAATACTGAGTTTAAAGTAAGCAGCAGCAACCTGAACAATAATCCAGCTATACTGAAGTCTTCCTCTCTTAATGAAACCGCGGCAAACAATAACAATCCCATGAAGAAAAGTATGTTTTGTCTTAATGAAGAAACTCGGGATGAAGTAAGTACTGAATATAATGTGAATTTTTCAATTAAGTGGTGTGACAGAGTGCAATGACCATGAGGCCACCACAAGTGGCTGCCTTGAAAACAGCCAACATAATATGAACAGTAAATAGCTCCACCTGTTTATAGTTTTCTGATTGAATGAAGAACAGAAGTTTCTGTAGGAACCGGCATGTCACTGTGTGACGTTTGGTTTGTTTCTTTGAGTTAAGAACGAGTTAAGAGTGGGGTCAGTAAACCCCCAGTTTGTGTGTTGGTGTCTGGGTGTGGCTTCATGCAGGACTACGGTCAGTGGTGACTGTTGTTTGTTTTTATTATATTTAATTTTTAGCAAAGTCACAAAAGTTTGTTTAAGTATGAAGGTTACTTGAAAACCAATGTAAAATCAGCCTTGTGTTTCTTTTATTGTCAGTGGATATCCCTGAAAGAGTTGCTCTCTCGGTGTGGCAGGCCATTAACGATTAATGAGCTGTTTGCTCTATGTCACACTTGTCTCTCCACTCTCCAGACCTACATAGATTATCCAGGTATGCCTTTTAAAATCCAAATGCCCATCTCCTTTAGTATTTTACAATATAAAGCCTTAACATATCTTTCTTTTAATTTATTAAACTCTAATGCATTGTATGATATGTGCTTTTAAATGGAGTGAATTAAATTTAGTTTAAATGTATTTTAACTGTTTACTAAAACACTAAAATTCAAATGAATACATAATTTTATATTTAGGTGATGCATGAACAGCATTATAAGTAGTTTTATATGAATCGGTTCATGCAAAATGTTAATATGGGTAATATTATTATTATTATTATGCTAAGGAGTCTTACATTTTAATCATAAGTTACAATTTAATTAGATTCAAAAGCACAGTAATTTATATTGTACACTCTGAATTTATGCCTAACATTTCTTGATGTTAAAAAATAGACCAATATGTGATAATGAGGCATTAATAAAAACATTGTTGTCTTGTTGGAAATGTGTAGAATATGACATTTGTTTTTTTCAACAGCCTATATATGCATGGATTCTGTGTATGTCGGTTGTGAGGGAGAAGTGCTGTTCTTAATCCCAAAAAAAACAGGTATTCTGACCAATCGCTGATTATTTTCTCAAAATAAGATAACTGGAAATATAGTTTGGAGGCCGATTCAAACTAAGAGACTATAACCCACGTGGTCTTTGCCACCTAATGAGATTTTTTTTAATGTGAATATTTCTTTCTATCTTTATTTCTAGGCTCCTGTGACACGTTTTACATAGCACCCGAATTTCAGCAACATGGAATTGTCACTGAAAAGGTTTGGATATTATAGAAATGTGTACCCTGTTACTTAATTTTTAATGTTTGTTTTTCTGGCATATTCTTTCTGTTCCATTTAAAGGTTTGTGTCTATGGGATAGCGGCAGTCCTTTGGGCTGCGGCAAAATTTAACATTTCACCCAATCAAAAATTGCCGTTGCCGAAAACATTAAAAAGGCTTCTACTTGAGATGGCAAAAAGGACTCCAATTGAGAGACCATCGATTGCCAAGGCACAAAAGGTACCTGCTTTGTTATTTGTGTAGCTTCTGAAGGGGCTAATGTAATCATTCTAAGTATCACTTACTGTATAGTTCACTTGTCCCCAGAAAGAAGATATAAATGCTGTAAGCAATGCCTGTCTTTATGAATTCCTAAAGTGCTAATCTACATAAAGTCTGGCAATCTACGTTTTTATTTTAAATGTACGATAGAATTGTTTTCGATGCATTTATAAAACATTTGATTTTTACAAAAATAAAGATAGTAAAAGATGATATTTAGTGTAAATTGCATTGCCACAAGTTTAGTCTGTTGAATGTACTGACATACTTGAATTTAGTAGATGATTGATCTTAAACATGTTAAACATCCAAGTAAGATTTTTGTAGTTTGGTGCCTCTATCTTAAAGCGTCCATTTATAAGTCTATGAAAGTATATGGGAAACATGTTAGGTGAAGCATACTTCTACTAATATACAATGTTCTGTTCCTGATTTTGCAGAGTTGCAGTGATTATCTCCTTCAGCATGGAACTAATGCTGAGAAGGTTTGGGCTGACCTGATTAACAGTGTTCACCAGGTGCATCTTTGATTTTTTTTTATAAAACAGATGTGCATCTTTTACATGTGTTGTTATTTCTGTTGCCAGTGTGGGCAGGTTAAATATCAGTCATATTATACTTCCTAACACTTAAATACAAAATTATCATTTCAACATTTGTAGTATGGTATCCTATTGTGAGACAGGAGGGCTTCTATTTTATTTTTTTTAATGTTAAAGCACATTTGTTATTATTTCAAACAGTCAATGGGCAAATTATATCAGCTATATAATTGTATTTATTGAGTCTTTATTCAGTGTTCATTATCTGGATTTTGTACTATATCAGCTTGGGAAGCTTGCTGTATTATCTCTGGGGCCCTGTCAGCTAGCACAATTCATTGTAGCTTTAAATTTGCATTTTCAGTGTTATGCTTCCACCCTGAGTAAAAATAGGGAAGTACATGATGGTCTTCATTTTATTGCTCAGAACAGAATTTGAATTGCTTGAAAATAACATAAGTAAATTCTAAAAGATTTAAGATGTTTTTGTTTTTCTCATAGTTATTTAACAGGCATGATGTAATGGAATCTCAAAATGTTGTGGATAATAAGATCCTGTCATATCAACAAGATCCTTCAGGTTTCAAGACTGGTAATTATTTTTTTAAATGGGAATGGTAAATCAGATCCATTAACATTTTAATTTTATTGCTTTCACTAAAATCATACGTTTGCAACTACTTAAGTTTTACTGCCATGTTATTATGAATGAAAATATTAGAAAAGAGCCAGAGATGTGTTGTAAAAGTCTTAAATTGCTTAAATTCTTGTTTTAATTGCACAGGATTTGTGCCGATTGCTGGTGAGAATAAACTGTCAGCTGTGCAAGGCCCAGTTCCTTGTCAGTACTCTGTGAGCAACTCTCATCTGCCTGCTGCCTTCACTTCTTTGAAAACACATTTCAGACCCATTGTCCTGTCACAGAATACTGACATTAAAGGGTAATGACACACCTTTCATTTCTGTAGTATTTTCAGAGTGGAACATGTGCCTTAATTAGCTGTTTTATTCTATTCTTGAATGAATATGCACGTCTTCGTAGTTTTAGATGTGACACAATTGTAAATGTTCCAGTATGCTCCTGTGTACTTTTGATTTCTAAAGCAGTGATGGACAGTGAGATCCAAAGTCTATAGGATTTTCCAATTTGCATGTTTCAGATGTTAAAGAGTTGAGGAAAATCAACACTTTGATCAGATGAAGCCTGAATTTGGACTCTGGCTGTTACCAGCCCAGCTGATGAGCATGATTCCCTATTGGCTGATGCTCACAAGCTAGGGCAGTTTCTGGCTTTCATATCATTTAAGCCTGCGATTATTCAGCTGGTGCATTTGAGCTGCACTGGTTTTTGTTTTCATATCTGTTATGCTCACATTTAGCATATAACTGTACATCCGAGTGTTCAACATTGGAGGAAATAAGTAAAATGACATGTGTATCTTCAGGACTAGGTTAGGCATTTTTAAATAGTGATAGGTTCAGAGCATTTGCCTGGGCTTGGAAGAATCACTTTGCCTTTAAAGAGGACAAACTAAGAGCAGGATGAAAGCAGACAGTTTAAAGAGGTGCTCTGGAAACATTTCAGTCCTTAATAGTTATACAACAGATGCACTTAAAGGCTTTTTTCATTCCATTTACTAAAATTGATATTCTTGAGTTTTACCTCAAAAATGTAAAGACAAAATCTTATGCCAGAATCAATGTTATTTGCATCGAAAATATCTTTAGATCATTTATTTAAATACCTGAATTACTTTAACGTTTTTTTTCTTCTCATGTGTGCATTTGTAGGTTTCAAAATGAATGTAAAACCTTCAGTGCAAAACAGCATGTTAAAGCTAAAAATCAAGAAATTCAGCAGGAGAATGGAGAGGTCCTTTTGAAAGATATTGAAAATGAGGAGGAGGAGGATGTCAATGAACCTTTATGTCATGAGGGAGTTCAAAAGAGCCCTATACCAGACAATGACTTTTCTTCTACACCTTCCAGTGGAAAAACGCTAATAAATTCCCCATCTTCTATTTCTTCAGACTCCACAAATCAGGAGAAAAGGAGTAACACAAATTCCGAATCATTTTCAGACTATGCAGCTGCTTCAGCATTACCTGAAAATTCTGTTGGCAATAATTTTAATAATTTTCTTCTGAGACAGGATCCGAAAACTGGACTTCTAACTTTATTACCTGTACAGATAGCTGTTAAAGAACCGATTCCAGGACTGGAGTTTAACATAGCTCCACTATCTAGTTCATGCCAAAAACTGCCCTCTGGCTCCAGAGGAAGCAAGCCAGATGAAAAACTGGAGATGCCTGTCAGTAATAAGAGCACTGTTGATAATGCATCTGATGCTGAAATGAGCTGCTCTACATATGACATTGAGAAACAAGTAGACAGACATAATGTGGTTGAAGTTGTTGATCGCATGGCTTTAGCTCCTCTTGTTTCTCCAGCAAAAAGCAGAGGGAATATGCAAATAAAACCTGGTGGTACTGAAGACATTGAGACAGTAGAAATGGCTTGTTCCACAGGATGTTCGTCTAAAGATCAAGCTACAAAACAACCTCCGCCCTCATCATCTTCACACCAAATTAATTCAGGTCTACAGAAAGTGGTTCATCTTATCAAAGAGGAGTTTGCATTCGATGGCTATCTAGAAAATGGAGTGGAAGACCTTGCAATGGGTAATGATTTATCATCTGGAACAAAAAAACATATAATATAAAAAATCGCTATAAAGGAAGGAGTCTTGATAAGATTGCCATACATGTACACATGCAAGAAGAAAGAAAAACAGGCCTACATAATCCTGTCTCAAGCATTTAGATAGTGAGCAAGCTTTTTTACGTGTTTTTATTTTAAAAGGATGAAATACATTATTTTTATTTTTGTAAGAAGTGTTTATGCTTTAAAGTTTATACATTTTTAAATGTGTTGGTTTTGATTCTCTTGCAGAGTCTCGTTGTTGAAAAGGCAATAAAAAAGCTTGCACTATCAGCATTATCTTTGATGTTCGTTAAAATTATTTTTCAGAATTATGCTGTTTTTCTCTACTTAGGAGTAGCCTTTTTAATGAAGGCATTATGCCATTAACATTTAAATTTGTTAATTAGTATTTTCTGTATTTTAAAAGGGGAGTATATCTTATCATTAAAGGACCTCCAGCATGGGACTTTTTGTAGTGCAATATCTGAAAAATTCTGTGACCTGTACTGGGACAAACAATTATTAGACGAACTTTATAAAGTGGTTAACAGAAAACATGGTCAAATCATTCTGTAAGTATCTCATCTTATTATAAGCAATTACTGTATTTACATGGCCTAAAAATTGTTCTGTTCTTTTGTAATTGAAAAACAAATATTTTAAATTAAACATTCAATTATTAAAATGAATTCATAATAAGTATTCATGAATAATAAATAAAATTATAATTCACGATAACCTTTGGTTTTTCAAGGTTACCAAATTACATTGGTAAACATTGAATTTTATATTCATCCTACAATGGAGAGCATGGAAATTAATACCGAGCCAGCTTGGTAATAACTGGTTATTTTTTCAACCTGTACTTCAATATAAAAATAAGAAAGGTTACAAACAAGAAGCCATTCTGCCTGTCTAGCCCTTTTGGTAATTTAGCAATGTAGATTTTGCAATTGACCAAGAATCTAAAGCTTGAACATGCTTTTCAGAAAAATAACTAATGAAGGACTAATGCAATAAGATTCACTTGCCTTTGAGGTATATAGATATCTTAGATATCTTGTCACTGTGGTACCTGAATCTCTGTAAAATGAAAACACTGATATATTCATATTTGATGACAAACTAATGAAGACAAAGTATGCTCCATCTTCTGAAAAAAGAGAATCTGAAAAAGGCAGTACATGTGGTTAGCATTTTAATTTCTTTTCATTAAATTCTTCAACAATAGCCACTTTAGAAACTTAAGAGGCTTATAATCAGTGGGCACAGAAGCATAATTTTAAGAACAAGTGCCATTTGCTTCACTGCATCTTTTGTACCATTGATCCCTATGGTAACAGCTGCTTGTATTTGTCTTGATGAGTCAGTTTGTTCATGATTTACAGGGACTTTTATGAGCCCTTTTAATTTATGTGATCTTTTTTTCTTGTTGACAAATACCTACCACAGAGAAAAGACAGTTCAGTATGAAAATTTTATTCACAGCTTTTTTTTAAAACTACAACTTACCTGTGTAGGAGTGTCAGTGTAAAGGTAAGAGTTTTATGTTAATAATGCTTAACTATGTAGATGCTGAACACAATTAAGGCATTTGCTTAGTTTTATAAACCACAGTTCTGACACTTTGCTACCATTAGATATATACTGAGAGGCATTAAAATACATCAAATGAATATTGTACTTGGTAGCCTCTCGGTCAGTATGTAAAGTACAGTATATCAACATCGATTCATTTTTAGTCCACTTTTTCTGTTGAGAGTTACCATCTAATTTCAAATTTACAGTTTCTTAACAAGAAATATTCTCTAGAAAAAGATTTTCAATTTTATTTTTTAATTTGCATATTTAATTTTCTATTACTTGTTAACTGATAACTGTTTTCTGTCTTTGCATTATCAAGAACTCAGTTTAGTTCTGTAGAATTAAATTAAAATTCTGTCCATTAATGATTTAATGTGTTTCTTTTTTCAAATGTTTGCTGTGTTTCAGGTCCTCTTCAAAGGCATTGTCAAGCCTAGACAATACTGCCCAGCTAGCATCAAAGGTAAAGAAAAGGGCAGTTTCACCTCTGGGCAGAAAGCAAAGAAAGGCTAGAGATGCTTGTCAGTGCAGTCCTCCTGATTTGCACGGAAACAGATGTCAGAAGCTGAAAGTGATGCCCACAAACTCACAACCTCTACCCGTAACAGGAAATGCATGTTTACATAAAAAGAATACAGAAGAAGGAAAAGATTCTGGGGACAATGTCAGTCCAGGTAGAAAACACTGACGTCATTTTTTCTACTAGTTTTTTTTTGTTTATTTCATGGTCATGGTTTATTTATTTAGCCTGATTAAATTATACTTCATTTCTATATCTGTAAATATAAAATATAAAATCAGTAGCATGCTGCAGTGACATTTATTAATTCACAAAGTGTGCAAGAATCGAAACTACACTCTCTATGACAGTTTCACATGTTTTGCATTATTTTGTGATCTTTACAGTAAGCAATGAAGAATGTGCTGCTATAAATTCAAAAGCACAAAAACCATTACGGAATAACACTGAAGGTAAAATTATATGCTGTTTCCATTTCATTTGTCAAATTGCTTAATATTATTGAGGGTATCTTTAAAAATGTTAAATTAGGTATTTCTTGCAATCTACATGTCATGATACATATGTATATTTTTTGCATTTGTAATGCAAACAATATACATACAATATAGTATATATATATAGTATGCAGTAACATTTTTGAATAAAAAAAAATTGAATTTGTCATTCCTTATTTACCTTCAAGATTTTCTCATGAACACTGTATGATAGTGAGTACAGCAAAAATGTACTGGCAGGTAATGACGTCCCTACCAGCAGGAGTTAGTTGTCTTGGATACAGACATCTGAAGCAAAGAAACTTCCTCTTTTGCTCAATGTGCTCAGTTGACACCACAGCCAGTGAGTCTGATGACTAACACATGTAACTTGTAACTTTTCAGAATTGAAGAACCTTTTCATTCCTCTTCCTTCTTTTATGGGAAAAGATAAAATCATTGCTGATTTGGAACAAAACTATTTGAAAAGAACAGCTCATGAAATGGACTTGAATGATAGTAGTGGTGAAAATCCCTCTGACCTTGAGTCTTCATCACTTTCTGAAAGAGAGGGATATTTTACCAGCAGTGCCTTTTCTGTAAAGGGAAATTGTCAACTTAGCTTGGATTATTCTGAAGATATTGAAGATACTGATTCCTTAACCTCAGAAAGAATGCCTGAAAACACCTGTTCCCCATCCCCTTGTCCTGGACACATTCGGCAGTGCAGGCCAGGGTGGTCCGTTGCGTTTTATGGGGAAGATTGTTTTCGTGAGGATGTGCAGAAGTATGTGAAAAAACTTGGAAGACAAAATGAGTCCCAGAGCACTGAAACTAAAATGCTGGTAGGTATAAAAGGGGTGAAGACTTTAAATGCAGTATTAAATGGTATAGTGTTAATATATTCGGCCAGAATGTACTGTTCTGAATTACTTTCAGTTGCTTTTATTATTTTAAGATTATACATTTTCTTGTTATTATTTTTCTCAAATCAGATACAGAAAGTAGTTTTTTTGTAAATTTGCTTGCAAAGGAATATCATTAAAGAGTAACTGTGTGTCTTAAACTGCATGTTTAAGACAAGCTAGGTCAGTATCCAGTATGTTTTTTGCTGTTTTCTTAATATTTAATTTGAATGTGATCAAATATAAATGTATTCAGAAGCATTTTGTTTTTATGCATTTTCATTCACTTTCCTAATTCTAATTTTAAATATTATTTTTTACTAACTAAATTAAATGGAGAAGGCTCTCATAGAAAAAGAACTTAACCAGGTATGTTTTGCAGATACCATTTTTTACTATAGTTTTTACCTTTGATTGTTTTTGTATACAGACCAAAGAAGGTTCATTTTATTTAGCTACAGTATATTTTACAGTATATTTTACAGGATTGTGTGATAATAAGAGTTTATTATTTTTGGAACAGACAGACTTTCTTATACATTACTTTTCCCATATAAGATTATTATGCTGACTTAAACTATCATTGGACTGGAATTCCACCATTTATTATAATGTTGCTGTTTTGGTGTTTAAATAAGAGTTTGTTTTTCATGTTTTGCATTTTATTCATTTCCACTTAGAGCTGTTTTTTTCAGTCTGGGTGCTCTGCAGTATGAGTTTTGGCTCTTTAGTCACTCTTTAATTTTTAATTGTTTGTCATTTTAAAAACTCTCCAGTTAGTAAAAGTATTTATAAATAAGCATGCAATTTCACACCTGTTCTCTCACTTAGGTTTATTACTTTAACAAATTGGTTGCAAAAGGAACACTTATTATGTTTGATTGTGTCATTCCCACCTGTGTCTGCACACCATAAATTGTTAAATAATGAGAGTTGAGAAGGCTGAAAAAGATTATTGGTCACTATTATTCTTGGAAATAGCACACATTAAGGATAATATTTGTAAATATATGTCCTATGTTTTCAGTACTGAAACCACCTATGAACAAATCAATTAGTTCAATAAGTTTAACTGATTAAGAGCTCAAACCTGAAAGAAAACCAGAAGAACAATCAACAGGAAGATAACTTACAAATTCAAAACATTAGTCACCCACACTAAATGAATAAAGTAAAACACAGTTAGAACCAGACATTATTGTTTGTAGAAAAGCAAGGTAAAAAGAGAAAAAGTGTCTGTAGGGTTATATTATTTTTTTCCCAACAAAAGCTTATGTGCTGGCATACAGTAGATCTAGCCCAGCATTAAAGCTTAGAGGCCATGCAGAATAGCAAATTATTATTAACTTAATATAATTACAACTTAATATGAATAGTACTACCTAAAATATGTATATATACCTGTATATATACACTGTATATTAAGATTATTACAGTGGACAATTAGGTGATTAGTAAGTCTTAATAGAATATTAATAAATATTAATAAGCACTCTTTGTCTACAGCCCCTTTGATATATATGTTTTTCTCTTCCACTTGAATGCCAAATAGGGGCCAAACTTTCAAACCAAACCGTAAGAGGATGATTTCCACATCTGTGTTTGATGTACACCTATACTAGCTTCAAAAGGGGCATTGATTTCTGTTACCATAGAGAGGGATGAAATGGTCAAAATGGCAAAGTCTAGCATGGGATATGATAAATATCCTGCTTTTTTAACACTGCAGTAATAACAAAAGGGTTATATTAACTACTTTGTTCAATCCTAGGGAGTATTGTACACACCCTGCTTGTATTTCTTGTTGCATGATTCACATTACCAGTGGCCATTTTTGTACATAATTGTACCAATATTAAAATGATCAATATATAAAATACATGGACATAATATAGAAATCGTATTCTTAAGTCTACCCTGTGTACAGAAGCTAATAGTTTCATATATGATTTGCAGGAACTCCAGCAACAATTGATGATTGAGACAAGAAACCTCAAAAAGACAAGAGTTTTCTACCAAAAGCTCTTACAACAAGAGAGAAAAAACAAAGGTAAGGACTATGTTCAAAGAACAGAACGAACAGAGTCAAGTAGTACACAATTACTCCTGGATAACAGAAACCTTTTCTGCCTTCAATTATGAATGTGAATGGTTAATGATATTGTCTAGACATTAATTTTATATCATCGTAGCCCTGTATACTATGCATTGAAAAACACTAACAGAAAATTTTGATATTATGAAGGTTCTGAAGCCAAAATCATGCTTCCTAAAGTAAAAGCACAGCTGGAAGAAATGACATCCAAAGTTGAATTTCTGCAATCAGTGAAAAAATATCTTGAGGTAAGAAAAATACACATATTTAAAACTTATTGTAAAACAATTTGTCTGTGTTGTGACTTATGTTCCACATTTAATTCTCCTAGAGATAAAGATATTTAAATGTTGTAATTTTTCCTAATCTTAGATTGATATGTCATATTTTCTGTTAGGTTTTGTATATGGAGCAGTGGGGTCTGGATCTTTCGTTCCTCCCTTCTCTGGCCACTTCAGGGCCAGAATTCCTGGATCTAAAGCCTTCAGAAGACAATTCAATGCTAAGTTTTCAGTCAGTAACAATAAGAGGAAAAAGCAATCAGGATAAAAGAAAAACCTTGCAGTCTGGCACCCCTCTTGGACTAATATCATACCTCTTTGCCAGGTAAATCAATTTTTATGACCGTTTCCTGAAAAGGTTAACTGCTGAAAACATTTGTGAACAATAAATGGAAACTATATGACAATACATTTATATGCTGTTGTTTTCAATCAAAACCTTATCATCCTTAGAAAATCATATGATTTTAAAAAATGTACCATGACACTGAGGATCGTATTTCAGTTAATGCTAATTGTTTGCTTCTTGCAGGAATGCAGCTGTGGAAGGTTACATTCAACAGTTCCTTTACACCTTTAGATATTTCTGCACACCAGAGGATTTTCTACAGTTTTTGATTGATAAATTGAACAGTGTAGCTGGGTAAGTTATTTTCAATAATGTAAAAATAATTACTGAAGTCTACTCTTCTGAGCTGACACATTTAACATGTTTTGTGTTAACTTTATCAATAAATAATATTGATATTTTAAAAACCTGCTAGACTGCGGTTAAAGTTAATATAATTTCTGTGACCAACAGTGCAAATCAAAGCACCTCTGCAGATTGCAGAAAGGTGTACAGCCGAAGTTTAGACGTGCTGCAAGCATGGGTGGAAGACTGCAAACAAGTGGATTTTTCACCCAAGTCTAACCTCCTGAATATATTGGAAGATTTCATTGTTTCCAAGGTAATATAATTACGTTTTCCTTACGTAACTTATATGAGCTTTATATAAGCTACCAAATTCTAAATTGCAATGCAGTTTTATACCTTTATTTGGTCAAAACAATTCCCCATTCCCCGTTTTTACATTTTCAGAAATGTTGTTTTGTAAAATCTGCTGCGTTTATTTAAAACGTTATCACTGTTTTTTGAAGGTTGTTCCATTAGATAGCAGAGGAGAGAGTCTGCTAGTTTTAGCCAAAAGTAACCCTGAGAAGAGGAGGAGTTATCCGGTTCCAGGCTGCTGTGTGAGCTCAATGAGCATGCACGACGATGATGAGACAAAGTCAGTTCATTCACTGTGCAAGAAAATATCAACAGAAGATCCTGCTAGAAAGGTCTGTAATAGTCATTATTACCAGAACTGAAGTCAAATTACCAGCATAAGTCTGTTATAAAAAATTGCTAAATAATGAAGTATTATTAAAGTACAGCTTAGCGTAACGTGAACAATATCTTTCACCTCCCATAAACTGTGAAACAAGTGGTCCTGTTAAACACCCTCCTGGTCAGTTCTTCTCATTCTCATTGTTCTGCAACCCATCTACTGTACTGCAAGAGCCACACAGGAGAGCAAGAGCAAGGAGGCAAGAGCACTACCAAATTCTTAACACAGCATTCTTAACACAGCCTCCATGACTGGAAATTTTTTTTAAAAACATTCTTGTCATACACTTACTTTTAAATTTTTAAAACAAATAAAACAATAACAACTTGAACAAATAATAATGATCATTGTTACCATTAAATCTTCTTTAATGAATAATACAGAAATGAAGGAAATAAGTTCTCTGTACTATTTTCCGTTTCAGAGTTTTCAGTGGAGAATATCCAAGGGAGCTGAGCCTCAAGTTGCCTTACGTAAAGAAAAGCCCTTTTCAGTGGCAGCTGCCTTACCTAGACCGTGTTACACCTCTTTAATTGATGAAATGTCTAGTTCACACTTGAAAACAGAGGAAAAGTATCCATTCTTTCAGAGTGAATACAGTGTGCAACAAACTGCACAACAGCTTACTTTGTTGCAGCAGGTAATCAGCTTGTACTTTCAAGTGACCATTCTTTTTTTCAGTTTACGATACCATTAGTGCAGTATTTTCAGTAAATACTGAAAGTGTGAAATAACACAGAATGTCTTTTACTTTGCATTTTATTTAAGTATGAATGCGACGTTTTCCAGTCAGTTGAATTCTGTAGGGAATACCCTTTGATAACTACACTAATCCCATTAAGCTATGAGCATCCTTTTGCTCAGTTCTGTAGCAGGCATTACATTTTCTTTACTGTTAAATTCACTTTTAACATTAAATGTACTTTTTTACCGTTAAATGTGAACTAAATGAAATGGAAAAAGGTTCCTCTGCACTATTTATCTTGGGAAGTGTAGAAGGCGAAGTTCATTTAAAAAAACAACCACAAGAGGGAGTTAGACAATTATTAAATCAAATGAAGGACTTGGTGGGAGGCATGGTGGTGGAATGGTTAGCATTACTGCCTTGCAGCACTAAGTGCTATCTGCATATAGTTTGTACTGTATGTTCCCCCATGTGTGCTTGTGTTTCCCCCATGGTGCTCTGGTTTCTTCCCACTGTCCATAGACATACTGGTAGATAGACTGGCTTCTGAGAAACTTAGCCCTGGTATGAGTGTGTGTGTTTGTGTCTCTGTGTCATGCAGTGGACTGGCATCTCGTCCAAGGTGTATCCTACCTTGCTCCTGTTGCTTGCTGGGATAGACTCCGGCTCCCCACAACCCTGAATTGGATGAAGCAGTTAGAAAATGGATGGATGGAATTACTTGTCTGGACAAAAATCAAAGTTAAATCAGGAGTGTTGAAGCTTACAAAATCAAAGTTTTTTGATTCACTGATATGTTGGAATGTTTATGGTTGTTTCTAATCTTGCCCGGTTTTTAAACAGGAAATGTTTCAAGGATGTCATCCGGTTCATTTTCTTAACTCTAGAGCACTAGGAGTCAAAGATAAAACCTTGAACATTGCAAAGTGAGTATATATTCTGTATTTCAAATTATACTTATACTGTATGTGTGAAATAAATGGCGATAACTGATATTTCATCTCAGGCAATCAGACAAACCTAGAGTGTTCTGTTTTACTCATTTACACCGTATTATTAATATTGTGAGTTTCATCGAAGCTTATGTTGGATATGGTCCTGTTCGCTTCAAAGGATTTTGTGCCTATTCCTTGTTGATAGTTGAATATTATTGTCTAAACACATTTGCTTTTCTCCCAGAGCTGTTTCACCTGACAATGTGTCAGCAGAGGGCAGCAACCTTTTTGCTTCAGAAATGACACAAGACCCATACATTCTTCAGCTGTTAAAATACGCAGATCATGTCAGCAACTGGGTGTCTGCTGAAACTGTCATCTGTGACACAGTAAAGGTAACCATAAATCCTTTAAAATAATACGTTTATTTCAATAGTCTCGTCACTAGACTGTAGTGGGTTTTTCGTTATGTTATAGATGTGTATATTTTAGAATGGATGGAAATCCTTTTTGATTCAACATGTATTCATTGCATACATGTCTATCTCATTTCTGTCAGTGTTGGTGTTTAATTCTTCACACATAGTTAATGGTCATTGTTGTCTTTACCATAGTTTGGAAATCCTATTAAGGAAAACACAATGCTGTGTTTGCAGTGTTATTGATGAGTAACTTGTTTTAAAGTACCTGTTTTTGTCATAATTTAAAAATGAACTGCTGGGTAGCACAGAGTGTTGTTGAATTATCTTACAAACCTGGGGTTTAGGAGAATTAGAAAATGGAAAAATGGAAGAAAGAAATGCCCTCATGTATTCTTTTCTTCTACTGAATATGGCCTTGACCATTCAAAAGAAGCGATGTAACAATCATCACAGTTCTTGTTCTTGATCTTGATCTTGATGTTCATGGTATGACTCTATGATTTTTTTAGACACAAACTGGACTTCTTTCCAAATTTCTTCTCATTGCCAAGTTATGCTATGAATCAAGAAATTTTGCCACCGCTATGCAGATTCTTGGAGGACTAGAGAATGTTATAGTCAGACAGTTACCTGTGAGTCATGCTAATTTTTACCACACTTTGACACAAGTTGTTGCAATTTAGATGTTACATTAGGTGTACTGTCTTTATATAAAAAAAACATATTTGAAATCGTTTATTTTATTACAAAATTGCAAAACCATGATAACATTAGACTAAATGTGACCATTTAAGTTATCTCAGTGCTCTTAACCAATGTAGCATTCAGCCGTATGAGGAATGGAAGCTGTATCTTTCACACTTTATATAAAACATGGCCTATTTTCTGTTTTCCAAACTTTATTCTAAATTACATAGTGATGCACTATTATTTAATTATTAATTATTAAATAAATTCAGCTGAACATATTTTGGATGTGTTGTATTAATTATGCTGTGTATTATTCTTTCTGGATGGTTTTAGGCCTGGAAGAACCTCTCAGCCAAAGTATGTGAAATCATGGAAGAGCTGAAGGCTGTTCAGGTGACTTTTACTTTGGGTTTGGTGCACAAAAATAATGCCGTCTAAATATTGTTTTCAAACTTCACAAACTTTTCATTTAATTATTTATCTTATACAGAGTGAATTTCAAATACTATTTCCAATCATTTATTTTGATGGATAATTAATAGATAACAATATCATTATAGCAAGCATTAACATTTTTCATTTTTTTGCAAGCATCAACTTTTACTAACAGTAAGACAAACTTTAAATATCACATAATACAAATTGATTGGTTTACTTGTTTATTTTAATAATAAATTATATATCCATATCTGTAACATTGCTGCTGCTTTCCTGTTTTCAATATTCTGAAGGTGTTTTTAAAGAGTGACAACCTGTGTTTAATGGAAGGTGAACAATTCAAGAAGCTTCCAACAATCCCTGCAGCTCACATATTGACAATGCATGTCCAGCAACTAGAAATTGGAGCTTTAACTATGGCTAATGGGGCATTTAAGTGGTCTAAACTAAGGTAATTATTTGTTTTTTTCTCTAAATGGATTGAGATTTAGCTATACTGTCCCTATCATACTTTTATTGTAATGTACAGTTATTTTTTAAAGACTCAGTGACTCAGGACTCCCAATGCCATGACCTACAGGATTGCCAGCAGGTTCTAGGATAACTTTATTAGCCATATACAATTTCTTGTATGAGGAATTTGTCTTTTCACATACCCCAGCTTGCTCTCCATGAGACACATAGATAGGGAGAGAAACTTGGGGTCAGAGTGCAGGTTCAGCCATTTATACGGTACCCCTGGAGCAGTTGAGGTTAAAGGCCTTTCTCAGGGGCCCCAACAGAGTAGAATTACTCTACCAGCCGCGGGATATGAACTGGCAACCTTCCAGCCGCAGGCGCGGATCCTTAGCACAGAGCCACCACACCACCCTAATTTTCTTTGTACACAACATACAGTATAAGCATGATCATTATTTCTTATTAGGTAAATTTCAGCATATTCATTAATTTCAGAAATTCTCATTAATTTTAGTAATTTGTTTTTTTCAAGGAATATTGCCAAAATTGTGAGCCAAGTCCATGCCTTCCAGGAGAATGCTTACAACTTTATTCCAGACTTGGAGCTGCAGGCATACCTGAAACAACGCATAGCGCATTTCAGTGGCACTGACATTCCTCTGCTTGCTGCAGAGAACAATACAAACTTCCACCAGATACCAGCTGACAAACACTCTCGAAAGATTCAAGATACGTTCCGCAGGATGAAGGCAACATTTCAGTGACCTTATTTTATAATGCATCGCAGATGTAAAAGCATTCTTCATTGGCATTTAAAGCATGACTGCAATAAGATTCAGACCAAAAACGCTATTTTCAAAATTCACTTCTCATCATATCCAAAGAATCTTTTTTGTATGTATATTGTGGATTTAAAATTTAAGTCTACCTGTTTTGCAAGGCAATATCCTAGTGGTTGCATTTATAATCCGAACAGCTCCTATGTACCAAATATATTTACAAAATTATGAGTATTAGGACAATAAAGAAAAACAAATTCACACATAAAAAATCCATCATGATAGGCACTGTTTGTCTTACTTGCTCAGATGTGACATCTAATCCTTGCTAATATAATTATGCATGCAGAATGTTTTCACTTCAAAGTAGTTGAACTGGCAGCTGTCACTCGAGGTCAAATTATATTTCCAACTAGCTATATATATATATGTGTGTAACTCAATTGACAGTGGCTACCTACTAATGCTACATGTATCAGCCTGCATTTTGTATAGGGAACAATTTCAGAAATTCCCACAATTGCCATTGTAATGAATTAAAGTGAATTATAGCAGCACATATCATTGTTTTATTGCTGAAGGATACAAGCATCTATAGTATAATTATATATTTCTAATTATTTGGGTTACTGCTTTATGAAGAACTTTTTTTATAATTTTGGAATTATAGGATGACATGCCCATAGCTGTAATTGAGTATTCTTAGTGATAAATTCCTGTTAATTTTTGGAAGATAAAAGTTAGCCAATAAATCAATAAAACACAATGCAAAGAAATAATGCCAAGCATTAAAAATACTTAACAGAATAGTCTACAAATTAGGACAGAAATATTGGGAAAAAACACTTTTATTGAAGGTGAGATTTTATAAATTTTCTCAGTTTCATTGCAGTTAATCAGGCTTACAGGTTAGAGTCTATTAAAGATCAGTGCATGACAAGAGAGACTTGTTTCTTCTTAAAGACAGGGCTGAAATTTTACCTTGAAACAGAAAAGTGAGCACATCTTGCACTCATGCCAAAAGCTGTGGATGCTGTTTTTGTTCTCAGCAGCTTATTAGTACCTGTCTTGAATTTTTGGATACATGTAAAAAGATTACTAGAACGTTTAATATTGTGTTGTCTTTGAATGCAACCAAAAGGTAACTTTTAAATACAGTAGACTGAAAATTATTATTTAAAGTTTTCACATTAACATTGTAAAGAGTAAATACAAATTAATAAATACTATCTAAAAGAAACAAAGATTGCTATTGTCCATTTTTGCTACAGTATTTATAGTCATGTGAATATTTCTAACATCATTGGGAGTTTATTGCTAAATCATCCCTAAATCAACATGCATGCACCCATAATTAAATTCTTATCCTATACCTCTGAAAACCCTCAAGTTAAAATACAGCTTACCCCTTTACAATAAATACTATGAAGGAGCATGTTTCAGCTAATGTAAAAGGCAAAGTTAATTCTAAAATGCTGCATTGTGCCCTTTGTATTTGAAATATTTATAACTTTTTTCATTTTTCAATTTTTCAGTGATTAGTATTATGAAAATGGGACCAAATAAGGTGTCTGGATATTGCATGGGAAAGTTTAATGGAGCTAAAAGTGCTAATATCAAGAGAAAATTGATTTTTATATTGTATGGATGAAATGTTTAATGTATGTGATCGCTAATAAAATTATAAACTGATCAATTAAAATAATGTTCAACTAGTTACAAAAAGATTCATTTTGTGATATTTTGTATTTTTATTTACTTTCACACAAATATATAAATATACACAAACAGGACTTTAATGCCTGTGAAATTCTATGTTCGTGCGTATGACTATGAATAGCCTTTATAGTTCAACTTCACATTTCAGCATTCACTGCAACTTTCTTTTTGCCTTGAGGTAATTACATTATCAAAGAAATTAATGCGGAAAATGGGCCAAAAAATTGAAGACTTTCCAGTTCGCCTCAACCAACTGAGAAAATCGTCACCTGGAAGCGACTACTGGAAGTAGTCGCCACTGTAGACAACCTCTAGAGACGTCTGGGCCTTCCTATTGTTTTACAGTGGCATCATGAGTAAGATCTTCAAAGCCGCTTTGATAAAGAACGTAATTGGAAAGCAAAGATCACAGGTCTGGAAATTTACAGATCACTGAAAAAAGAAGTAATTCAACGAATCATTATCTTCATTGTTTTGGCTAAATGAACCGTAAACAACACTGTAAGTCACCTGATGAGTTTAGGGGTGTTTGTACAATTGAAGCCCCGTGAGATTATGTACCTATGAAGGCTCTATATAAAATAAAGGTTGTTAATAATGTTTTCATAGTTACAGTTTGAACTGACGTATTAAAAAGCACGCGGTATGTCCGCAAAGTGTCCTCATTACCTGTCAGGTATAGCGAGGAATTTCAAAATATTTTAACGAACACATCAAATTTTTAGAATGAATTAACGAATAGTATATCCAATCAAAATTACTTCGAATTTTGTATGAGATAATGTATTGTATATAGGATTCAATGCTAGTTGGCCTTCTTAGTTTCTAAGAGTTCACTGAAAAGTTTTATTTTAATACGTTTCAGTAGGTCTACTTCAAATATTTGTGATTACAGCATTACTTTGTTACATTGGTTTGCGACTTTTTCGGCAGCCGAATTTACACTGCGGCTTAAGAGCAATAGAACTTCGTGTTGTTCTGCATGTTAATACCTTTGATCTGTACTGTCTAAAGGGCTGTGCGCCAAATGCCGACACTACCAAACAGAGTGTTGGCGCCAGTACTCGGCGGGGTATTCAAAGCTAGTTAATGCAAACCATTAAAAAAACAAGGTCAATGAAATTGTTGTGTTCCATAGGATGAGGAAGATTCAAACGCTGCTAATGAAGGACAAGCACAAATTGGCAGTTGTCAATAAGTACAGGATATAGGACTCGTTATTAAAAAAATACTCAAAATGTTCAGAAAACAAATTGCTTGTATCAAATTCTTACATTTATAGAAAAACCGTTCCGTTTTTTCTGTGCATATGTAAGGACAGAATATGCAAAGGGATTTAATATTTGAACAGAGTGCATTTTCTTTTAGCGTCGCATCTGATTTTTAAAAATATATGATAACAATTTAAGATAAACGCCTGATCATGTTTAATTCATGAGGAGTAGAGAAAGTCAAATATGAGTAAGTCAGTGGATATATTGTGACAAAGTGCATTGCATTTTAACAGCAAATTGACTTTGGCCTATTACTACATAACCTATCACATTAAAAACAGGGATACATTTTAAAGCGATTGCACATTTATAAAGTTAAAAACACAAAGTCAGAGAAACGTCTATGGTTGGAGATATCCAGGCCTCATGAAAATCATTGTTTTAAAATAACAAATGTAAATACTTTTTAACTAGTAGTTAAAACCGTTTTAACTTTAAGAATTAATAATTACCATGCTTGTATATTTGTATATCGTTTGGATTTGTCTAATAGCATTCTAACCAACTTGCGCACTTAAGATCAATAAACCTTTATCTTCGTTGATACCCTACTAATCAAACAGTGTTGATCAAGTATAGTTTGGTTTTTCGATTGAATTGACCAAGTTAGTAAAGCATTTATCAGATTTAACTTGTAATGGTATTATGTGTTAAGAAATCAATTAAGAGGCTTTACAAGTGTTTAATGTTTTCATCTTATCGGAAATAAGTTCACTTGTATTGTATTAGGACAATATATTTGATTTAAAAAACACGTTTTAAAATAAAACCGCTGAGTGATTCGAAACAGAAGAGACAAGGAAATGCTTTTTTCTCAGACATGACGGCGCCAGGTCTTAACACATTTACAGGATATGTGTAAACTACAGTTAACTACATCCCATTAGCTGCAATCATCGAGAACCAACTAGCTTTTACAACAGTTCTTTGCATATGCAAATATTTACAAGGGCATTACTTATAAGAGAAGACCCCGGAGAAACAGGCCTTAGAAGCTACTCACGCACCAGAACCCGCAAGACTTTTTCTCGATCCTCGCCAATTAATCATGGTAAAAAGTTTCTCTGTAGAGTGGCTCGCTCAAAGCGACCACAATTGTAACCCTGAGCAAGAACAGAAAACCTTCGAACAAAATACAGTAGCGGACAGGGAACTTCATATTCCATGCTTGGCTCAGCCTCGACCACATACATCGTACACTACAAAATGGTCACAGCCAAAAGGGAAGACTGTGAAAAATGTTCTGCTTTCTGGGATTGCGGAACATCCAGATGATCAACGGGACTCTGATCCAGTGTCTACAAACCTTTTGAGCAACCCCGTTTCTGTGAGCAGTAAGTAATCTCTAAATTTAAGGCAACGATATGTGTCGTGTTCGTGCGAAAATGAATGTTAGAATCGTAAATGAAATAGCTTATTCTCTTATATGACGTTTTATGTGTGTTATCACGTCTCCTTTTATGCAACTTTATATACTACCCAACATGATTTGTGTTAGCAAAAGTTTGTTTCGAATGAATCTGTTAAAAACCCTTGAAAATGTCGAGAGAAATACTCTCAAATAAAATGATTCAGTTTATAGCTGAACAAACGTTTATGCTTTTTTAATTCAGTTTCAGAAAGAAACGGCGATTCTTCCGGCTACGAGAGTGAGACTGCGTCCTCCGAATGTCTTTCTCACGAAGAAGACACCGAAGGGGAAAGTGCTCGGCGGAGAATCAGAACAAAGTTTACGTCGGATCAGATCTACAAACTTGAGAAAACCTTTAGTAAAGACAAATACTTGGGTGCAACAGAGAGACTGAAATTAGCAGCCAAACTAAACCTGTCTGAAATTCAGGTAAGCGGCCCTTATTAAAAATATTTTAAAAGAAGTCTGCCTTAACTTTTTTTTTAACAAAAAATAAAGTCTAAAAAGAAAGTTAAAGTCTTTTTTTTCTCTGACATACTTAATCTCGGGTTTATAGACCTATATGCCGTTACGGTTGAATTCAATTTTAATGCACTCAGAAAGTTAACTTTTTTTTGTCCTCTTTCAGGTAAAAACCTGGTTTCAGAACCGGAGAATGAAGTTGAAGCGGGAGATGCAGGACATTCGTGCCGAGTTTTTCAGCCCTGTCCTGATGAACCAGATGGTGTTTCCTGCCGGTCTGTCCCTTCAGCACCACAACTTTCCTGGACAGCAATTCTCTCTGAACCCATTCGCCACAGCAACATCTGCTTTCTACTCGTCTGTCTTACCGCAGGTGCCCGGGACACCCATGGGAATTCCACAGCCAGCACTCCACCAGATGCAGATGATGGTTTCTCACTATTATTGAGGACTGCTAAATATACTGTACTGTCAGAATAGTAACATGAATCTAGATGTTTGTGACGTGAAGAGACGAGCAACATTTGTTTTATATTTTTTAGAAAATGTATATAAATAAATTATTTAGTTTTTCAAATTTAAAGTATGTAAATACTGTACAAATATATATTTATAGAGATTTTAATAAAGAAAATTCCTCCTGGTTCAGTATTTTTTTGCTCTTGGTGGCTTTTTATTTTAAATGGTCTTTTATCATCAATACAGTGAGCCTCTTCACTATATGCAAAAGTGAAACGTAACGAATCTGTCACTATGCCTAGGCCAGAAAGCTTTCTAACTAACCCCAAAAAAATCATCATATGAGGTCAGTGTCTGCTTTAAAAATAAGGAGAGCCTTCAAAAACAATGTGCTCTGAATTGAAAGTTTGAAGATGTAACTTTGTTGCAATGATTGTATAAAATCTAATCTATTAAAAAGTCTTTGAAATAAAGACCTTTTCACAATGCCTATTATTCAGTATAGACTGCTGCTTACCCCATTAGGGTTTTTGAGTTTAATTCTGAGAAAAAAAGCTGATCAAGACAGGGTGTCAGGGCAAGAAGCTGACTGGCAGAGTAGCATTCAAAGTTGCTTTTGGTCTTTGATTTTGTATCACAACTGAAAACTCGACTCACTCAAGTGTGCTGTGGTGAAAAGCAACATAAACTTGATTGCATGCTCTGACTAATGACTAAGTGACTAATGAGAAACACTTTTCATTGTACTATGCACCTGTGTAAGTTTAATGACAATAAAGTTGAATTGACAGAGAGGAACATTCCTTGGCAGCCCAAACAGAAAACTAATGAAAAATTCAGATTTTGTGAGCTGAAGTTTCAGGCTGCTGTCAGCTGACAGCTCCATCATCTGGGTTTCCAGAACAGTGGACAGGATCATTCCACTGAAAAGGGACCAAAACTCAAAAGAATCTCACGTCATGGGTCTTCTATGAATCAATCAGTGTATTATTATTTAACAGCTGATTCTAATGCTGGAATATGACTTTGGTTATGTCACTCAAGAATGGAAGCATTTCTGTCAGTCTCACTTGCACTATCTTGTTCCAGAGTGAGTTTCTTCTTAACTCTTGCTATTTTGTCAGGAACCAAAAAGTATGCCATCAAAACTCACCATCTAGGTGATGCCGTGCCAGGAGGAGTACTTTTCTATCTGGAAGTCCATCTAACTTCACTGAATTACAAATGTTGCACATACACTGCCTTCATTCTTTCACAAAGGATACTAAAACATTTTATGTTTGGTGTACTTTTTTACAAGATCGACATCATGTTTTTTACAGTTGTATTGACACTGTCATGTAGCTCTGGTGTCATCTTCTTTAAGGGCCAAGCCTTCGTGATATAGGAAACGGTGGATCTGCTTGGCCTCTGGTGTCCTCCCCTGTTTTAGTTACCCTGCAATGCTTGCCAGTCTTTGAAGCACTGTGATACATACATACGCCCATGCAATTTTTCTAATCAAGTCCCTTTTCAATGAAATAATTATTAAAACAGTGGGAGCGCTCATCATCTGCTATTCTGCTGTGATGTTCATTGTATAACAGCAAATCCTCATCAAAACTACTGTCCTAGCTGTATTTCACAAAAGCTAGCAACAAAAGCTGCATTGCAAGCATCAGTTAATTTGTTCAGCTATATGGCCAAAGATGGGCTGCTTTTATTCTCCAAAATGTCTTTGAATGTCACCACTCATAACCACTGTTCTTCTATGTACAGTGTCACTCGGCAGCATGATGATATAAATGTCCTTAGCTGACATCTCCCTGAATAACTCTCCATATTTCCACATTGCTGGAAAGAATAAGCTCCTCTACATTGGTGAAAACTTTCTTTATGTTATGCAAGATGGAACTAAAGTAGGTAACTTGCCTTGAGGATTCTGTCAGAAGCATTGCAAGTGAAGCTATTGATTTTTGCTGAGTCTGAAGACTCCTGTTTCCTTTGGAATTATTTGATTTTCTAATGCACCCAGGACTGGTTTGTAAGTGTTGTAGCAACTTGGAATTCTCGGTGTCTCATTTAATATCATATCACTGCATTCTAAACACTAAGATCTATGTTACTGCCCATGTCACCGGTCCATGTCACTAAATATGTGGTCAACCAAGTGTACTGATGAAATCTCAGGCCTGTACATTTTTAAATACCTTCAAGTTTTCGGAAGTACAAACGAGTTAAAATTTATTTTAAGAGCAATTTGTCAAGGATATGATTGCAAGAAGTATATTCTCTTTTCTAGGCCTTTTCTAGGCCTGATGAAACAATTCTCAATCTCAATTTTCCCAACTCTTAGTACTACCTACGAGGTACCAATGAATGATATAGACATCATGTTTACCTTTGTTTTAAGTTCACGGATATTGATTGGAATATCTAAAACTCTTCCAATTATGTTTTAAAGAGAGGCGTTATTATTTTTATATGTTAGACAAACATCGGCTGAAATATCGATTTATAAAACTCCGGGAATGTATTCAAATAACTGTCAGTTCTCACAGACATAATGACGCTTGGCCCTAATAGGTTTACTGCACGTGTGAAAACTTCAATAGCGATGACAGCTGCAATGACAACAACGGTATTTGTTTTGCTTTGAGCCTACTATTGCACATGCAAATACATTCAGTGGGAGGTCTGAATAAGGCGGCGCTGTTCTCATACTAGCTTTTAGTGGATAAAAAGATAAGCAAAGTGCCAGTCAGCGAGATTCTAGATTTTCCATAGTACGATTTTCTCAAAGTATTAACACGATGTTATCTTCAAGACATGAACAAGCAGAAGACGGCGCATTTGAAAGCTCTACGATACAGCCTCGGCAGCTACAACTTTAAGAGACTTGTTAACTGCAGGATACGAAGGAAGACTTGTTCCCAGTTAGCAGGTGTTCCTTCTAATCCTGTTGATCAAGATTGCATTGATGATCTATTTCAATAGTCTAAAGCATAAGGGTAAAAAAAAATTAACAGTATAACCTCAACATTTCATTAATTACGTTGGGTTCCGGGAATACATTGGGATAGAAATTGAAGTAATTAATCGGCCCCTCTAAAGAGAAAAGTAAAGAGAATTTGGTTTTCATGGACGAATGAGAAAAAAGTCCGATTACGTCTAGAGTAAAAAGGACTTCAAAAACACGAACCTGTGGTTGAAAAACGGCATCTTTCTGTAATCAGTTAAGCAATATTTTTGCTAAATTGTTAGTGATGATAACAACAGAAAGACTATGATCTATTATTTAAAATATACAGTAGATATTTTGACATTTTACAATGTCAGTTGCTGTAACATTTTATGCAAAGTAACTACTGTGTGATATTACTGTATTGACCCGTGTTTTTTTTTCAAAGGGAACATATAAACTGGACATCCCTTGTGAAGAATTACTGGAATTCAAAAGTTAGTTTTCATTAAATAAACTGTTTCGCACTCATTCGACATTAGAAAATATAATTAAGATAAAAAGTTAGAAAAATAAATTTCCTAATATTTTTCCATTTAAATTTCTTCAGGAGAAAAACAGAGACTGACACCGTCAGCCTGAAAACACCTGTCGGAAATTCAGGTAAGCGGACCTCAGAAAAACTGCCTTGACTTCCTTTTTATGTGACTTATTTCATCTCGGGTTTATAGAACTAAGCATTAAGGTTTAATTATACATTAATCACTCAGAAAATTAACTTTATTTTGTCCTCTTTCAGGTAAAAACCTGGTTTCAGGACCGGAGAATGAAGTTGAAGCGGGAGATGCAGGACATTCGTGCCGAGTTTTTCAGCCCTGTCCTGATGAACCAGATGGTGTTTCCTGCCAGTCCGTCCCTTCAGCACCACAACTTTCCTGGACAGCAATTCTCTCTGAACCCATTCGCCACAGCAACACCTGCTTTCTACTCGTCTGTCTTACCGCAGGTGCCCGGGACACCCATGGGAATTCCACAGCCAGCACTCCACCAGATGATGGTTTCTCATTAATACTGACTGATAATTATACAATAATGCAAAAATTATTAACACGAACATGGAGGTTTCAGCCAAACACGCAGTCTTGTGCAATGGTGTGAAATGCAATGACTCCTCTCACTCCAGCGACAGCAATTTGCAAATTTCTCACAATGATGCTGTAATTACTACATGTTAAATTATTAGAAGTAGTTTGTAGCAGTAGGCCTGTTGTATTCGTTGTAGTAATACCGGGGGTGATGATCGTTCATGTTATTTTATATGTTATTTACTGTATTATTTATAGATGTAATGTTGCTGGTTCCTCTTATAAACTATTTGCCTTTTGAGTATTCAATTTTGAACTTCAGAGTTATAAAGATTGTAATGAATAAAACCGGTAGAATTGCACATCTCTCGACATGGTTGAAAGTGTGGGAAACGAGGAAAAACAACGTGTTTCATCAAAGTCGCATTCCATTCTCATAATTATGATAAAAATACATAATAAAAGAGTATGTCAATCTTTTGGTGTCAGATTTAAAATCTGTGACGAGGGAGAAGCGATGCTTTTGGAACTACTGTAAGACCAAAGAACGCCTTCTTGTTTTACTGGTTGAAAGAATTGTTTTTGCAGTAAAATATGCAGCTGAGTTGTTTAAAGTTGAACTGAAACGTAAGTATAAGAAAGCTGGTATGGATAAAGTTGGAACCGTGGTGTCGTTGATTGCCATATACCGAAGTGTACTTCATTTTTAGCTTCACACGTGACTCAGGTTACGTCATTTTTTTACATTACAAAAAAGTAAATGACAACCCTGACGATTTGATGGAGGTGACTGACTGAAAAACAGCTTTTAATAATTTGTTCTGTAAATTCTCTGACTTTTCAGATTCTCTCTCAGAGAAACGCTTAGAATATTGCAAATAGGACTACATTTCTATTAATACTTCATGGATGGCTGATTTTATAGACTGGTGAATAATGGATGGGTTCACTTTGTAGCTTTCTTATGCAGATATTTTGAAAATGCTTCGCATTTCCCTTAAAATGGCAAAGTAACAGAATCAGATAATTGTATTTGGGTGCCTTTTGTGGTTTGGGGATTGTCTTCAGATGCACCCTTG